TGGGGAATATTGCATATACAAGGTCGATAGTTTGTAAGAAAGTAGAGGCTTAGTCACATTGTAGCAAAGTGGATACTATGTATTGATATAGTATCTACTTTGTATACACATACCATACCTTTGCAGCTTTTCCTTCCCCGGCTCCGAGGAGGAACTGCATCACGAGGGTTAAGACTGTGCACTTAGAAGTGCCTGTTACCAAATTCTCTCCATCATTGGAAAGCATTTCTGAGCCAAACGGGACCCAAAACTGGGAGTCTGGAAGGGAATACTCTCAGAATAGACCTGCTCCCCCTGCAGATCATATTATGTATCTTTTATAACTAATTCCAACCTATCTAAGGCTACTCAAATTTAGATGTGTAACTCATGTTGTTAACTGAACTGCTGGCGCCTCTGTGGATCTTCACGGACTGATACTGAAATAGTGGGGTTAGCAGAGGTACTTGTGTATGCTCACAGGTTGTAGGTATCTGCAGGGTAAGCGACAAGTTGAACTTTCACCCTGTGTGAAAATCTAGTTTCAAACTCTATTTTGAGATGAAAACCTGTCTTGAGATGAAGCCACAGAAAGGCTTCAAAAGGATGTGTGTTAGTCCTGGGTCTGCAGCTCCAAACAAGAAGTCTGTGATCTTTTCCTTCCTAAATGACTAATGCAAGTAAATGTAAAATCAGGGACCTGGAATCTAATTGTATAAAAATGCACCTAATCAATGTCTCATCTAATGCTTGGTGAAGTAATGCCTGGTGAAAAGGTTTTATATCAATATTTATTGGCAATCCCTTGCTCTGAGGTGATGGATTACAAGAACACATTCATTAGCCTGTGTGGCACCAAGACATCATTCTGCAAGGAACATGTCTGACTTATAGGACCTTGGGTAGAGAAATACTGATTGCACTCTTACAATCTGAAATATAATGAAAATCTCCATTTCAAATATATTTAAGTAATAACTAAAGGCCACCCAGTTGGGGAGTAGTGTTTTGCAGTGGTTCTGGAGAGTAAATAATTTCTTCTCTCCAAGGTAAATTAATTTTTGTTGTTGTTTTCTTTTACTGTTCCCATTGAATTCCAGCCTAATGACCATGCTACACCCGATTCTTTGCAGAAATACCCCACAGATCTGTACACAGTAGTTTTTTTGTCAAAAAGGGAAATTGTAATGTAAATTGATGAAATTTATCAGACCACAGTCAGATGCAAAACCAAACCTCAAACTTTAGTAATTTGAAAGTTGTTCATAGCAGTATTTGAATAACATTAACAATGAAAATAGATATGCTAATGTATGGACTCAAGGACTACATATCTACCCATATTTGAACACCTTTGCCCTGAGGGAAATTCTCTGAGCAGCAGAAGCTGAATCTGCAAAGCCCAAAACATAGGCTTTGCCTACACCAAAAGGCATCTGAGATTACACATACAGCAGTGCCACTCATCTGCCTGGGCTAAATAACAAATTATAGCAAATACCAAGTGGTGGGTTGCACAAAAAATAGCAGTGCCGGGCACAGGCATCCGGTCTGACTAAGTTGAACAACCTTATGCTACAGATACATCTTCTGTTTTAAGCAATAAGCCAGAAATTGCTAACACCATGAGGGCATTAAGCAGATTTCACCCTCAGTCACCTGGAAGCAGGTGCCATGGATTATTCTGTGAACTTCAAATGGTGTGTAGGACACGCGGATTGCTCCTAATGTGGTCAATAAGCACCTATATTGATACAATTAGCTAAGAATGAGTTTTAAGATAAAAGCGAGAACTATCAGATCCGTTGTGAATGGTGAGAGAAAGGAGAGCTCTGAGTTGCCAGAACTTTTTCAGATTAGTTCAACTTCTCAAAGCCTCCGAAGCATCAATTTCTTTATATAAGCTAATTAATAAAAAAAAAAAAAATTGATTGCAGATGGTGCTCTTAATTTCTTTGAAATATCCATTTTCTGTGTGTTTTTTTCTCCATGCACACATTTGGGGTCACTTTTGTGCCTGGGGCCATTACTGGAGTCAGCTTCCAGTCCCATTCTGATTAAGGTTTTTTGTTCAGACATTTCGTCACCCTCTGTTGTCTCAGGAGGATGTTCTCACATTATGCAAAGAATTATAATTATAATCTGAATATATAGGTCTGTCCTTGATCATACAAAAACCCCTGTGAACTTCTGATTCACTCACTTGAATTCACCTCAAAGATGGGGCCATTAAGTCATTTCTGCCTGTATACTAAATTTGTATACTAAATTGGTTGGAGTTAGAAAAATAATTTTTTTTTTTTCCCAAGGAAGGCTGTAGACAGCTCTTAAAATGTTGCTAGGCCTTTTTTATTTTAAACTTATAGTCTGAGACTCTCCCTTGGAGACTGTGTCTAATTCTGATGTCCTCAACATAAGAAGGACATGGAACTGTTGGAGCAAGTCCAGAGGAGGCCACGAGGATGGTCAGGGGCCGGAGCACTTCCTGTATGGAGACAGGCTGGGAACATTAGGGCTGTTCAGCCTGGAGAAGAGGAGCTGCCTACCTCTTAGAATACAGAGAAATACTAAGGAATGGAGAGGGTTGGTGAAGATAGAAAAACTTAGGCCAATTTATCTGTGAATCTCCTTGAAATAGGAGATGGTTTAAACTAAACCTTGAACTATTTCTTTAATTAAAAATAAAATACTTTAATTCCTGCAGCTAGGAACAGTGACATTAATTTTAGAACCCAATAACTGACCTGCACTCTCAAATCTTAATAATATATTATTATAGCAGTGATATAAGAATTCAAATATGGGTCACGTATCTTCAATTTGCACATATGATCTTTTGCATGCTTAGCACTTTAATAAAAGCTTCTGATAAACTTTGAAGTTCTCAGGAGCCTATGACCAAGCCAAACAAGTTTCTCTTCCCAGGGGATCTTTATAAAGACACTCCTAATTTAAAGATGATTTACATGTCTCAGTAGTTCAAGTGCTAGGAGAGCAGAAATTTCAGTACTAATCTCTGTGTGTTGGATTGTTTATGTATTTTACTCACTTATTATTTATCCTGCATCCCCCCACACTCCCCAAAAGGCTCAATTTCATTGTGCAATCCAAAGACTGCTGCAAAGTGACAGAAAAATTGACTACAAGTGAAGAAGTTATTGACACTTTCTATACTTTTTATAGTTCTCCAGCTGGTGCCATTGGTCTACAATACATCTGTACTGAATATTGCAGCATAGCTGGAGAAATGAATGCTGCACTAGGAAAGAAAGAATTCATGTATGTGATGTCTGCCTTCACAGCTGGCTTTTGGAAATTCTTATCTTTTGCAGAACTCTTCCTTGAGAACAAGCGTCACCAAACAATACAACATATTTATGCATGTGGAAGTTAACGTAAAGCCAGTTGCTGATATTTTGAGATCTGAGATAAGAATAAAAGTGGATTTGTGAATTCTGTAAAGAACTCCTAAGTGGTTAGGCCCAGAATTAGAGACAGACTCTTTCACAGAAGTGCTATCACTTGATATTATCTCATTAGACTGGACTTCTAATACTCTTTTTTGTTTCTCCTTCCATGACAAAGAAACTGTATCTGGTGTGTTTTTCTAGGTATATCTCAGCCTTTGTACACAGCCATAACATTTCAGTTTCTTCTGATTCTGACAGGGTCCTTCAGTGTCCCTCCCTTTTGTACTTGTGCTTCTTCTCTAATTTTGGGGCTGGAGTTGGGTGAAAACTGCATTGTTCCTAGCTATTTTCTGCAAAATTCAATCTCTCTTTTCTCTAAAAGCAGCTTGAATCCCCAGACTACAAGTGCTCATGGGCTGACTTCCAAAAGCTGAAATTCTTCATGGTTTCCAACAGTATTTACCTTGCAGAGAAGTGTACAAGGGACTGTATTATGTAAATTAAGATTAATCTTCTTTAATGACACCAAGCAGATCCAAAAGGGTTTTGAAGGCAGAATAAATCTTTCTGAATTAATCATTCTAGTGTTTGGAGAAATTAACTTGGCCCAGAATATTTTAAGATGAAAGAGACTTGTGGTCAGATATTCATGCCACAAGATAAGGAAGTGAAGCACTAATACACACAAATACTAAGGCAAAAAAACATGTAATCAGTAGTGGCTCATAAATAACTTCATGCACAAAGAATGCCCTAAGTTGTTGGGCAACCTGGGCCTCAGTATAAAAACCTGAGCAACTCAAGGCTCTTCCACCTATTTCTCTTGCCTTCTTTGCCTTGGTGAACAGGGTAAGTCTGAACCCATTTCTTCTCTCTTTATATGTTGAGCTGTTGCCCTGATGATTTTGTAGTTTTTCATCCCAAATGTTGTAGTATGAAAGAGGAAGTTTTTTGTTGGTGGTCAGTTATAAAAATCATTGAATGGGGTGATTAACTACAAGTTAGACAGTTAGGTGTATTTATTCAACTTTGGGAAACAAACAAGTTTTCAAGTCCTGCAGCTGAACATAAAATATCTGTAGTGAATTCTTGGGTCTGTTCAGAGTAGTGTGCTGGTCTGTGGAGAATCCAGATAAGGTCACATCAGAAAAACACTGGGATAGTGGCCAATACTGGTAGTCATGGATTGTCAGCTCTCCACATAGAGCCCATGCCTGCCTTTGAAACTCAATTCTTAGTTCTGTAAGCAAGGAGTGACCTTCTCAATCCTCCAAACAACTGCATACAGATTTGCACTGTAACATGTAAGGTCTGCTAATGATTTTAATATTAACAATACACAAAACCAGAAGTGTTCCTGGATTCAGCTGCCTGTTTCTATTTCATATAGAACAAATTTTAAGTGCCTAAGCTTCTATTTTCCACTTTCTAAAACTTGGCAAAGGGACCTCCAAGAGAGGTCTCCTTAGAGAAAATACAAGATCAACCCTGTCAAATATCATCTTGTTTGTGATAAACTTCCCTTATCAGAGAATTCAAGCTGTACAAATACAGTTTGATTTAAATTCTTGTATCGCATTTCTTCCTTCTTTTGTGTTTCAGATTTACCTCCATCCCTCAGACATGTCCTGCTACGACCTGTGCCCCCCCACCTCCTGTGGCCCAACCCCATTGGCAAATAGCTGCAACGAGCCTTGTGTCAGGCAGTGCCAGGACTCAACAGTGGTGATCCAGCCCTCTCCTGTGGTGGTGACCCTGCCTGGACCCATCCTCAGCTCTTTCCCCCAGAACACCACAGTGGGATCCTCAGCATCTGCTGCTGTTGGGAGTGCTCTCAGTGCTGGAGGGGTACCCATCTCCTCTGGGAGCTCCTTGGGATTAGGGAGCTTTGGCTATCCAGGCCTGGGCAGTGGGTACAGCCGGCCCTACCGTCGCTACAACACCTACCGCAGTGGCTTCTACGGGCCCTGCTAAAGCGTGAGGAGCAAGCAGGAAGAAATGACCAGGAACGCTGAAGCACAACTCGACACAGGACTGAGCTCATGGCCATGGTTTTCAGATGCAGCGTTAGATGCCCACAGCTTGAAGTTTATGGAGCTGTGGGAGCTTGGCATCTCCTAAAATCAGGCCTATGCTTGTCTTACTTTTGTTATGCTTTACTTTACATTTCTGATCAAAAGTCTTGCTCTCTCGTGCTTTTTTTTTTTGTAATTGAAAATGACTAGAAAATATGTAATTATTTGAAATTGTTTTGCATGGCTGAATTAGTACAATTCACTTAAACAAAGAAGAAGGAAGATCTCATTTTGCTGAGTGTGTCATTGTGAGAGGGATGAGTGGGTACTGTCCTTAGTGGACCATGGAAATGTATTCCTTATGCTTTACATTGCTTCCTTCCATTCCTCAGCCTCATTAAATTTGTGCTGCATCATAACCTGAGTTGTCCTGTACTTCTTTCTTTTCCCAGCCCCTTTTCCAGCTTGTCTGTACTGAACCAAGTCCCTTTACAAGTCACCAGTTCCAGAAAACACTGTGCACATAACTTCATACCCATTGCCAAAGGAGAACGAGTCAGACTGCAGCTGTGGAAGAAGATTTTCTGTTGTCTGTATGTGCTAAAGCAAGCCTGAGACAATTTATCAAAGCCTGGAAAGTGATGATGGTCACCTGTAATAGGTGTGCCTCCTGTTGTTGCATAAGCAGGAAATTTTAAACTAAGGAAGCTTCTTTTGTTACACTTTAAAGACCCTCTACCTACAGTACCATGATGATGGAAAAAGGCCCTTTAACTGTTTCAATATTCTTGCTTTATAAGAATATGTTTGGTTTGAGAATAATGTCTTTGGGGATGAGAATGGAACAATAAGCTGATTTGAGAAGGGGGAAATTCAGTGAAAAGCTCACTGAGGGGATTACTGTTTCTGCTTATCCTTCCGTAGATGTAATAGATGAGAGTATCCTTGTAAAAAAAAAAGAGGATAGATGGATACAGCATGAAAATTTACTAGGAACGCTCAAAATTATAGAGATAAACCTTCTTCTGAAGCACTACATCCACTCCTCAGCTTGTTGCACAAATAGGATATATGTACTATTACCTGAGCAACATAGAAGATGATTGTGGTTTTCTTTATCCTATCTGTGGTACTTTGGAAGACTCCTTTAAAAGGAGGGAGATATTATGCTTTTCCTGAGCACAGCTGAGATTGCTCACGGCAGAGGTGTTGGGGGAGATGCAGTAAGCTGGAACACTCTTCTGAATGGAGCTTAGAGCTTTCTGATGGGTGCGGCACCTCTTGGCATCTGAGATCAGGCCCTGGTAAGTCTCAGACAGAAGGAAGAGAAGGCTATGTGGAATTGGTCTTTGAAATTTGCTGGCCTGGGAGCAGGTCTGGGAGAAAGATGAAAAGGTTTGAAGTTCTAAGCCTTTCTTAGTGTGTCTTTATAAACTGACTCCTATTTGTTGTGTCTGGTAGATCTGTACTTTATCAGGCATTGCTTTGGTTGGCTGTGTTGTAATAAAGGTGGTGTTTAGAGACCAGGAGCTTTGGTCTTTACAGGAAGAAGGTTTGAAAAGCTCTGCCTGAAGGCTCTGGATGACTCAATATCCTGTCAGCCCATACAACTCACAGCCTGATATCTCTAAAACTTCTTTCTTGGAGTCTTTGTCTGTGTCTGTACAGACAGATGTTGAACTGTAATTAAAACCAGGGAAAGATGTTAATGAAGTTATATTGACTATAGTCATTACTGGAACTAAATTAAAGGAGGTTCATCAGTCCCATTGTAGAATTACTAAGTTTAAGGACTAGAATTTCTTAATAAACAACAGAAGAGAATGGAAATTTAGCAACTTGATATTATAATATAATAGAAGGTTGATCTGAATTAAATACATTTTTTTTTCTATCTCAGCTGAAACTATTGCTCAATCAAAGGAGATGCATTCCAAAGAAGTCATCACTCATTTGCAGTTGTTGCAAAATTGGTTTCTCTTATGGATTAAACCTATGTATCTAACACAGCAGAGAAGTTATAATTCCACAGTATCAATATGGCTGGAAAGAATAATGGCTGAGGTAGCACAGTACAGGTATTTTTAACATATAGATGTGGACAGAGAATGACATTTCTCATGATAAAGTACATTCTCCTACTCTTGTAATCCCCTTCTGCAGTTCCTTCTTAAGCTTTCTTCAAATCAAATCTTTCAAAGCTCTTTGCAGATTTAAGCCCTGTGCATGTACACTCTTTCCAAAGTTAGGACCTGTTCCTCAAGTGATCAGAAATTGTAGCAGAAAGAGCTGCCTAATTTGGGTTAAAATTTATTGTAGCTACAAGTGTAGCACAGAACCAAAGTAAAAGGTTTCTCTGTATGATTTTGTAGTTGATCAGAAACTGGTTTAGACACTGCTACAGTATATGAGCTAGATTATAATGTTACAGAGAACTTTCTAAGCAAGACAAGCTCAGGTGCTACCTCTCAAGTTACTGTCATGTTTGCTTTGGAAATGTCATACCATGTTAGACTGGGGTCTACAAAATCAGGCAGCATGTGTCAATAAAACATAGTATTAAACAATGAAACAGCAGCATAAACCCCAGTACATGATAGAGTACACATGCTCTGAACAAAAGAACAGTCTATGTCTTCTCTCTCTCACTTTATAAACTCACATCTGTTAATACCTATCAGTGAACAGGTGGGACAAGTTGGTCCCATAAGAAAAAGAATAATATGAGATGTTTTTGCAGAATAATAAATATTTACTACTGTTGATGTTGAAAATGTATCTCAGTACTGAATTTTGTAAAACTCAAATCAGTATTGTACTGTCTGATGTGTATACAGGGGTAAGGTATGAGGCAGAAAGGCTCTGAAGACCAAAGGCTTTCTTGGGCTGCCTGGAGGATCTGAGACTTTCTTGCACATTTACTAACCAGGTTCTGCATCTATTAGGGCTTTTTTTTTTTTTTTCTTGCATGTGGCTGCTTTCCCACTAATGAAATGGTTTTGTTTGCTGTTTATGTTTATTGTCTGGACTTATCCTGGTGTTGGACGAAAACCACAATCCGCAGTGTCTCTTTCATCTTTTTGATTTACATCCATTCAGTGTACCTGGCTCCATCATCCTGACTCCACCTTCCCAAAATATGAAGGAGTCAAAATTCAATTTGGTTGAGAATTTTGTCTGCACTTCAGCAGTTTGGTTACACTGGCCCATGAAAGTACCACTGCTGTAGCAGCAGGAGCTTGTCATTTCAGTTGTGAGTGTACAACTTTATCCCTGATAAGTGGTTATGAGAGTTAGGATCACTACTCTTTGTAATATTCCAATATACAACATCCCAAAGCTTTTTGCTCCTAGGATAAGGAGATTGAGCCAACCAGGCTAACTTGACATATGATCACCTTCACAAGAGGACTTGTGATTCATTTTATCATCATCATACCTTTTGATGAGCTTGTTTTCAAACCCACATTCTTCTCTTACGGTCAATAGGTAGTTATTCCTATAAAGGAAGATGCTTTTTTACATTTTGGTACCATAGCAGTGTGTCTCTGCGTGTTCATTGTCAAGAGCATTGGGGAAAGACTGGTAAATCTCAGGGGATAGGAGAACTTCAACCAACAGTGTCACTAGTAGAGATAATCACATACCTAAGGGCATCCAGTAGCTGATGATTGGAATGAGGTTTTTAACATGATTTTGTGGAAAGACTTACTTGTATTTTATGTAAAAAATGGAAGTACAGCAGTTTGTGACACCAATGTGAGGAAGTTTGAGAAGTTCGTTAGTTATCTTGGTAACAAACTGTAAATGCTGATCATGTTCAAATAGTGTCCAATACTTTCACATTTTCTGATAGTGCCTCGTTTGCACATCTGAGCCATTAATGAAAACATGTTGTAAACTTTGAAGACTTCTGTTCTTCAGAAGTGTACAGTCAGCATTTATTTCCCAGGAGATCTTCTTGAAGATACTCACAGTTCAGAGATTATTTGCATGTCTCTAGCTAAGTGATTTAAACATTAAGAGACGACAGGTGAGATTCAAATACTGATCCCTCCCCTAAAGACTGCTTATGCATTGTATATAATTACTTTTTAATCTAGAGATTGTCTTTGAAAAGAAATAGAGTTGTTGCACATTGCAAAGGTCTTTAAGGCCATGCAAAATGAAGACAACATTATTTGCTTTCAAAAGATGAAAAAAGAACAAGAATATTATAAACTGCTGTAAGTAGCTACCATTAATTTGGAATATAATTTTGTATAATAGTTCAAGACACAGTAGGGGAAAATTATAATTTAATGGCAAATGTAAAACTGTTTGGCATCTTTAATGACCCCATAGGAAAACTTGTGTAAGACTTTGAGTGCCAGTGTCTCTGAGTAAGCTAAAATTCACATGCATCCTCAATCTGATCTCAATTGTTTTCCTGGAGTTTGATGTAAGAAGAAAGCTAAAACTGCAGACTCCTTAGATTAAGGACTTTGACACTCAGTTCCCAAATTGAAGAGCTGTGTCCCAAATTCCCTCATGGAAGTGTAGTAGTTTAATATTAAAAGAATAGATCAGACTGCCTGTACTCTTTCATCCTGTCTCCTGAGTCAAGAAAGTAAAACATGTTCCCCCAAATAATCTATTTCCCAGGAAGTGCCTTGTAGACTGGAAAAGTGTAATTAGCTCTACTAAGTGCTGTCTGTAACAATCTTATTGCTGAATCTGTGCAGCTGTCTGGTTGTTTGAGAGGAATTTGGTAAAATTGCAGTCCAATTGTCAGAAATGGTAACTTCTGGCCTTTTCAGAAAGGAATGTGTCAAAAACTTCTTCTCTCCAAGAAGATGGAAAGGGGATTTCACAGGGGAGTTCACATATGTCTTTAATACATGTATTCATCTGTGTCAAATTATGTACATTGCATATACTGTCCTTAGGATGCAAAATAATTTCTTTAGTAACTCAGATGAATCAGCTGATCTGACCAGGAATTAACTGGGCTCATAAGATCTTAAGATAAAAGAAACCTCTCCAGTGGAATGCATACATTATGATGAGGAAATTAAATCAAGGCAATAAATACAAACATTGAGGAAAAAGTAAATCATCATCTGGGAATATTTTGCATACAAGAAGTCTTCAACAATTAGCTGGTAAATAGCTACATGTTATTATGTCTCACGTCTTCAGGCACTCTAGGAAACAGTATAAAAGCCAGCACAGTGAGTGCTGCCATCCACTTCTGCTTTTTTCTCCTTGGTGAAAGGGTAAGTCTGAATCTGTTTTCTATCTTTCAATGTCCTGAATTGTTGTCTCCATGTCACTTTATTTTTACACGGTCTTGTCAGTTTATGCAAGTCTAAGGTTTATGCTCTTTATCAATGTGTGTGTGTGAGACCTGCTAGTAGATCTTTCTCTGAAAGAGGGTAGCTATTTTTGAAGGGTGGCAATTGCTAGCCACAGGACTTCAGACTCCTCTTTTTGCATCATTCAGTTCCAAGATGTTCAGAACTCTGCATGTTAATTGTTAAGCAGCTAGAAGTAAATGGGGAGAATCTGTGAAGAGATTTTGGCTTTCCTAGAGCTTTTTCTGTAGACAGACAAGCAGGCTCAAATTTTCAAAAGTGTGCTGAGCAAGCATGTCTTCTTGCACCAGAGTACTGTGAAAATAAGGTTTCTCCTAGCCATATCATACAGGAGATCATAAGTTTTGTCCCTTGCTTCCCTCATGTTGCAGGGCTGCATACATCCTGGAAGAGTGTTGTGGAAAATGAGCTATCAAAGACTGCTCAGGAGCAGGTAGAGCTACCCCTTCAGCTGTCCTCCGTAGCATACAGGAGTTTGAGTTTCATTGAAGTCTCCTTTGAACCTTAGACAAACACATTATTCCATTTGCCATATAGTCTCTTGCATGCTCCATCATCTTAGCAGCTTAATTTACATGACTATAATTACAACTTCTTTCTTGTATTTATTTCCTTCCCTGTATTACAGACAGTTCCACCCTTCAAACATGTCTTGCTATGACCTTTGTGCTCCCACCTCCTGTGGCCCAACCCCACTGGCGAATAGTTGCAACGAGCCCTGTGTCAGGCAGTGCCAGGACTCAACGTATGTGATCCAGCCCTCTCCTGTGGTGGTGACCCTGCCTGGACCCATCCTCAGCTCCTTCCCACAAAATACCACAGTGGGATCTTCAGCATCTGCAGCTGTAGGGGATGCTCTCAATGCTGGAGGGGTCCCCATCTCCTCTGGGAGCTCCTTGGGACTTGGGAGCCTTGGCTATTCAGGTCTAGGTGGCCTTTATGGGAGGTCTTACCGTCGTTACAACCGGTGTGGGCCTTGATAAAGCCCTGGGGGAAAAAAATCAAAGGAACAACCAGAAGCTTACAAGTGTGATCTGAATGCAGGACTGAGTTCATGACCATGGCCATATACTTGCTGACCACCCTCAGCTTCCCCCTGAGCTACTGGGACTGCAGGAGCTTGGCGTTGCTGATTGAATGCCTTTCTCTGTTATCAGTGAGGTGAAAAACATAACTTTTATTGTTGCATATAGGAGTTGGGTGTCCAGCTGTAAAGCATTGCCTTGAAATGGATGATTAGTTTTATCCAGATTCAGCCCTACTGCTTTCTTATGCTGTACATTTTTTTTTATTCTACTCATTAAATTTATGGTGCATCATAATATGTATCTTGCAGTGTTCTTCCTCTTTGGAGCCTTCTCTTGGAGAAATTTGCTTATGTATAAATTGTCAGTACAGACGGATCATCATTTAACTCTTACCCTACCAATTAGGGAAGGAGGTAAACATAGATAAATGCAAGCAATGAGTAATACCCCTTCTTTTACAGGGTATATTTTCCTTCAGTCACACTTCAATAAGTACAATATGAAATTAAAATTTCTGGCTAACAATCAATGAAGGGAAAGAGGTGGGAAAGCTAATGTTGTCTTACAGGAAATATATAGTTTCATTGTTTGGAGTTCTAACATTTTTGAGCTCATAAAATTCTAGCAATCTCTAGTATTATTTTCATGCTCACTTTTTAGATTATGAAGATTTTGCTGATAGCAAAGAATGGTGGTAAATACCAGGAAAAACATTTAAAAATCGACCAGTGGAAAAAAACCAAAACCCACTATGTATGATTCTTTTGTTGGATGCTAGTTAAGGAATGCTGCAATTAGGTGGAATTCGTTGCTAAATTAAGTGGTGAGCTGAGGGCCTTTGTGGTGTCACCAGAAGTCCTCAGAGCTAAAACAATTACCCCACCTGTTCTGAACCTTGAAGATAATGACTGTTAAATTGCTAAGCAAACATTCATTAACACAATGCTGCTGATGCCTTAAGGATCCCAATTAAACTTCCATTCTACGTTTTATAGAGTGATTGAGCAGGGCAGATTGTTAAATTAACTCAGTATACCAAGGATTTTTGCTCCTGGAGGAGGCTAAAGGCAAACAAAAACTAGAGAAATTCTCATGCAACACCACGGAGATTTAATGCTAAAGAGAAGTCAGCCATTCACAGAGAATCAAGGCAATACAAGGGGAATACAAGTGTGATGCAGGTATCAGGCTCTGGTACCAGTGCTCTGTGCAGGACACACGGGACAGCCAAAGTGATAGAAGGATGCAGGAGATACCGGGGCTCAGTCATGCAGTGTGAGCACACCGTGGCACAGGGCAGTGGGCTGCTGGGTACACACAGCCCCCTCAAGACCCATGCCAGGGCAGCTGACGCATGCTGCTGGTCCCCATGGCACTTGTTCCACATCCTGGTGCCATGATCCTTGCTTCAGGGTTATTGCTGGTTCTGGGCTCCATCCTGTGGACTTCAGAAAGCCCCGCAGCTCCCACGGCGGGACCTGCCCCACCTCTGGGAGGTAATGCCAGTGCCACAGGAGGAGAAGCCAGAGCTGCCAAAGCCACTGGACCCGTATTGACCCCCATAGCCCAGGGAGCCCCCATAGCCCAAGTCAGCTCCATAACCTAGGGAATGGCCATACCCAAGTGAGCCTCCATAGCCTCCCAAGCCAAAGGAGCCCCCATAGCCCCCCATACCAGAGGAGCCCCCACAGCCCCGGAAGCCCCCATAGCCCAGGGAGCTACCATAGCCCCCCAGACCAAAGGAGCTCCCATAGCCCCGGGAACCTCCATAACCCCTCAAGCCCAGAGAGCCTCCATAGCCTCCCAAACCAAAGGAGCCTCTGTAGCCCCCCAAGCCCAGGGAGCTCCCATAGCCTCGGGAGCCCCCATAGCCCAGGGAGCCTCCATAGCTCCCCAAACCCAGAGAGCCCCCATAGCCCCCAGAGCTTTGGGAACTAAAGGACCTCCCCAACAGGGCTGGACCTGATGATCCCACCACGCTCTCCTGAGGAAAAGAGCTGAGTATGGGGCCCGGCAGTGTCACCACAGCTGGCGGGGGGAAGATCACTGCTCTGGAGTCGGGACACTGCTGCACACAGGGCTCATTGTAGCTCTCGGCAATGGGCTGAGGGCAGGTCACCTCACAGGGTCGGCAGGACTCACTGTAGTAAGACATCCTTCTGGTGTTGGCTCTGAGTCTGCAATGCACAGTAGTAAGCAGGTTTCAGATGCAGAAATATTCACCTGACTCTAGATGCAGACATCTAGTGTCATGTGGAGTGGATGCCACTTGATATCAACTGCTCTTGCTTGTAGCATGATGAATCTAATATATTAAGAAGAGCTGAAACACACTGAAGTTTGGTAATATTTTTACAGCATGTTAATAAATGAAGTGTCAGATACAGGCAGCTGTTTCTGTAGTTTCATCTTGAGTCCCCAGTAGTACCCAACTTCCAAAAAGGAATATTTACCCTTCTGGTGCAAATACTACTACAAAGTGGTAGATACTGTGATCACTTTGATATTTTTTAGATTTATAAAGCTTGTAGTTCATGAATTAGAAATAAAAAGTCTGGGAAAGGGTATTCCAAGTGACATAGTAAAACTTCCCATTTTGTTCTAAGAATAACACCTTCTGTCTCTCACAGTTCTCTGCCCTGCTAATCCGTAGCATCATGTAGAATTTAGCATCAACAGAAAAAAAGCTTGAGAAGCATAAAGGTTGAACCAAATCAGACTTACCCTGTTCACCAAGGAGACTAAACCAGGAGATGTGGATGGAGAGGCTAGGAGTAGAGGCACCTTTTATACCTTTCTTAAACTGCTTACAAATATGAAACACCCTTTGTGCCTCAGGTCCTACTCAGTAACAAAACAACCTTCCCATTGAGGGATTTAATTTTGCTGGCTTTGCATTGCCACTCCCCACCTTCCAAAACAAGTGTGATACAATTTCAGTACTAAGTTCTGGGCACTGGTCTGGTGAATGATGACATCTTTCAGACATCTAATACCCAGCACCAGCACTGGGCCTCTGCTGTTTTTAGGGTTGATGAGTAAGGATCAGTTAAAGTCATCTGTCTTTTAGTAACAGTGCCATTTAAGTGAATTCTGTGAAAAGCTGGATAAAAAGAGGGAGGGGGTAATAGAAAGAGGGAGAATTTCAGGTATCTACATCCGGTTTAGAAACATGGGGTTTTAAACATCTGCATTTGCAGATCAAATACCAATAATTGCTTCTGAATTATAAGGTGGATTCCATTGTTACTTTTACTGCTGTCTTTGGAATGTCATTGAGACAGTGATGCTTCAATGATACTCCCAATCCTCCTAGGAATGATAAGAAGCTTTACAAACACCTACTAAAAATTCACATTTGATGTGTTGTACCATGATTATACACGACATGCAATGATCAGCATTCAAATCTTGCGCAAGAGCATCAATCTGGGGATGTGTGAATGAAGCGATCCGTCGTTAGGTACAGCTTCATGCATAAGAGTCATTTAGAGGTGAGAGCAAGTGATCTGGAGAGTCTAAGAGTAGAGATTTTAGAACATCGATCTATCTGACCCCTTGTTTTTCTGAACATGGAATAATAGCCAGTTAAACCTGAAAATTCAGATTATTGTTATTTTTTCAATAGAATTTAAGTCAATAGACATTTCAGGCATAGTAGCAAAGTACTGTCTTGGGAGGTGAAGCTACTAGCTACAGTTGGTAGCACTGACATACCATAATCTCCCCAAACTTATTCATACTTAGCAAAAGTATTACTGATCACTGATTTGAATGAAAATCACATCATTGCTAGTAGTGAAGTTATAAATCATGGTCCGATTGGGGAATCAAAATAATTGGCTGGCATATTTTTAAATGATGTTATTTCGTAACAGGGGCACTTCCAAATCTTACTTTTCTTCATTTAATATGATAATAACAGAAATTGCAAGCACTAACTATTAACGAGTATTTGTGAAGCAGTTTAAAGTCATTATCTTCCAGGTGCCTCATTATAATCAGCAAATCCTGATGACACTTCAAAGGCATAAGTATCTTACAATTTAGAGGTAATTTATAGCCTATCTTTTGCAATATTGTAAAATTAGAAAATGACAGATTTGCAAATAACTATATGATGCCACAGACTTATTAAAATATATCCCTTTTTACTACTATTTTATTCATTTCCCACTTCTTAATTGGTCAGGACTTTAGGGAATGAGGACAAAATCAGGATTGTTTTGAAATGTATTTCTAACAGAACTTCTAAAAGTCAAGATTTCAAATGAAATTTTGACATGTTTGGTTGTAAAGTTAGACAGAGACAAGGTCAGCAGTCTGCCTATTTCAGTAAGGTCTTTTCTGCTTCTTTGGAGATGTCACTTAGGCCAGTCATTCCTCTTTTGACCTAGTCTCATCTGAATTGTCTCAAAACTTGAGAGAAGGATGTTAGAAAAGGTTTCATGGACTGATGCGTTATAGATAACACCTCTAGTGATGATGGGACTGCATAAAATCGTAGAATCAGCTAGGCTGGAAAAGACCTTTAAGATCATCAAGTCCAACCATTACCCCAGGAGTGCCAAGACTACTATTAAACCATGTCACTGAGGGCCATCATTCCCCTATACCACTTGGTAGGTGCAGTAAATAAGACACAGATCTCACTGCCTGGGTTAATTACAGGGAAAATTAAAAGCTTAGACCACCAGCTAAAACTTTGCCAGGTCTTCTGCTTTCATGCTGTTACTAGAGATATCCCATCAGGAGTGAGCCTGTATCACGTCAACTCTTTGCTCTTCTGTGTAACAGCATTTATGGATCCCTGCAAGGAGATCAACTTGTGTCCTCTTCAAGTCCGCTGCAAGAAGCCGTGTCCTCCCAGCTCGTGTGGTGACCTTCACCTAGTTTGTGCATGTAGCAACATAAAAGGGTTCCACACCACGTAAGCACTACCTGGAACATTAAAATTGGACTAATGTGACGCACGACTCTTGTTCCGGCTTCCAGTTGCTGATTGTATGGCAACCCTTCAGCTTCAAGTTCCCAAAATCCCCTAAAATGACAATCACAGGTAAGTGATTGTATCAGCAGTTGTATCACACCCACACTAATATTTGGGAGGGACAGTGCTGAGATGACAAAATTAGAGCTCCCACTATCATGTTTTGTAACAGATTAGGACCAGAGGCACAAAGGCTGGCTTAAAGAAGGGTATAAAACCTTGTATCACCCACAGCCTTCTATCCAGTTCTCTTGTCTCAGTCTCAGCAGTGAAAGAGGTAAGTGTGACTTCACTCATTCTTTCTACTACTATTAGCATTTACTTTAACAGTGTTCTTGTCACAGAGATGATTCCTGCATGTGTTTTTTCAGACTTAGATTCTTTGTTTCCCTCTGAAAATGTGTCTTTGTGCAGATGCAGCATCAGGAGTCACAGCATTAGGATAGGAAATAGTTCTCAAGCTATAGAAATACTTGGGTTGACTTCCACATCATGAAGTCTGAAATAATGCATATAGCCAATGAGCCTTTTCTCCTATTCCTGTTGGCTTCTTTTCACTGTTCACTTTGTAGGGACACCCTTGCCTGTCCAAGTTTCTGTAGACAGATCTGTCCATCCAATTTACCCAGTACTGAATTTCTCTTTCATATTGTACAGTTTCCAAAGGTGATCATGATGAGATGAAAGAAAGGACAGAGGTGGAGTTGGTACAAGAATGAGTTTCATTTTTTTAGCATGTAGAAATGTATCCACATCCCTGTTAACTTCTGATATTTTAAACAGAGAATCATTGCTTAACAATATTAGTTAATCTCCTCCCACCCACTTCTAGTATTTGTTCATTTACCTTAAAACTCCTTACTGCAGACTCAGAGCCAACACCAGAAGGATGTCTTACTACAGTGAGTCCTGCCGACCCTGTGAGGTGACCTGCCCTCAGCCCATTGCCGAGAGCTACAATGAGCCCTGTGTGCAGCAGTGTCCCGACTCCAGAGCAGTGATCTTCCCCCCGCCAGCTGTGGTGACACTGCCGGGCCCCATACTCAGCTCTTTTCCTCAGGAGAGCGTGGTGGGATCATCAGGTCCAGCCCTGTTGGGGAGGTCCTTTAGTTCCCAAAGCTCTGGGGGCTATGGGGGCTCTCTGGGTTTGGGGAGCTATGGAGGCTCCCTGGGCTATGGGGGCTCCCGAGGCTATGGGAGCTCCCTGGGCTTGGGGGGCTACAGAGGCTCCTTTGGTTTGGGAGGCTATGGAGGCTCTCTGGGCTTGAGGGGTTATGGAGGTTCCCGGGGCTATGGGAGCTCCTTTGGTCTGGGGGGCTATGGTAGCTCCCTGGGCTATGGGGGCTTCCGGGGCTGTGGGGGCTCCTCTGGTATGGGGGGCTATGGGGGCTCCTTTGGCTTGGGAGGCTATGGAGGCTCACTTGGGTATGGCCATTCCCTAGGTTATGGAGCTGACTTGGGCTATGGGGGCTCCCTGGGCTATGGGGGTCAATACGGGTCCAGTGGCTTTGGCAGCTCTGGCTTCTCCTCCTGTGGCACTGGCATTACCTCCCAGAGGTGGGGCAGGTCCCGCCGTGGGAGCTGCGGGGCTTTCTGAAGTCCACAGGATGGAGCCCAGAACCAGCAATAACCCTGAAGCAAGGATCATGGCACCAGGATGTGGAACAAGTGCCATGGGGACCAGCAGCATGCGTCAGCTGCCCTGGCATGGGTCTTGAGGGGGCTGTGTGTACCCAGCAGCCCACTGCCCTGTGCCACGGTGTGCTCTCACTGCATGACTGAGCCCCGGTATCTCCTGCATCCTTCTGTCACTTTGGCTGTCCCGTGTGTCCTGCACAGAGCACTGGTACCAGAGCCTGATACCTGCATCACACTTGTATTCCCCTTGTATTGCCTTGATTCTCTGTGAATGGCTGACTTCTCTTTAGCATTAAATCTCCGTGGTGTTGCATAAGAACCTCTCTAGTTTTCATTTGATTCTCAGCCTCCTCCAGGAGGAATATTCACTCTTCTACTTGGAATGCCACAGAAGTGACAATTTTCCTGTGATAAGGAGGAATTTCTTTCCTCAGCAGTAGATCTTTTGTTATTTGAAATACATTCCTGGTCCTCATAAAAAGTGCACACAGGTTTTGTGCGGTTTTCTTTGAGGGGACAGTTTCCTGAGCCATTGTCTGTAGAAGGATTGATAGGCTTTACACTGGGATTAAGCATTGAGCTCAGATAAGTTCACAGACTCTGCTATACGTGGAAGAAGAGCTCAAATATATGATGAAGAAAATAAGAGGGTTTTTCTTAGATCTAAATGTTCTTGTTCCTATAAAACAACAGTAGCCAAGGGAACAACGGGAGTGCCCCATAAAAGGTAGGACTAGGATTTCTGCATTTGTCTGCCAGTGATGAGGGTGTTGACCTGATACTAAAAGCTAAACTTCACAGACTGTAAGACTGTTGACAAAGACGGTTGACAAAGATGGGTTAAGCAGAAAGATGACTGTATTATGCAGCAAAACTTTAATCAGAATGAAAGTTACAGGAAAACAACACCAACCTCTCCTTCGATGACAAACAAATACCCTCAACCAGCATAAAATGAGAACCAAGACAGAAATAATGTAGATCATTAATCCAAAGGAAAAGGACATTAGCACTTTCAGGAGATTCACCACAGATGCTCCTGCTACTTTTAGCAGGCCCACAGGTGCTGTGGAGGAACTGGGTGCATTGGGGTGAGGAGTACGGGCTGCAGAACCTGGGGGCTTTGCAGCTGGCTCTAGCAGGGCCCACGGGTGTCCCACAGCCTCTGGCTGTAGCGGGGCAGAGCCAGAGGGCTGCAGGCGGCGGGAGTGTAGGGTCTGCCAAAGGTGCAGAGGCCCCCCGAGGCCTGAGTGGCCCCAGCACCGTAGAGGCCTCCCAGCCCCAGGTTGCCCCCAAAGGCGGGTGCTCCAGAGGAGCCCACCACGGCTTGCTGGGGGAAGGAGCTGAGGATGGGGCCGGGGAAGGTGACAACCACAGGCGGTGGCTGGATGAAGGCTGAAGAGTCGGGACACTGGCGGGCGCACAGCTCGTTGCAGCTCTCAGCGATGGGCTGGGGAACGGCTACGCCGGTTCTTGGTGGGCACAGGTCGTAGCAAGACATCTTGGTATAGAGTGGAAAGTGGAAATGGAAAAGACTGAAAAAAGGCAGAAGATTTATGAGATAAATTTCAAAATGCTGATGTGTGAAATTAATATGATGTGCTTTTGTGTGCTATAGCATTTACTTTATATTCAGCCTTGATCAACTTTCTTTACACTAGCTGAGCACCTGGATCCAAATTTTCTGGCTGTATAAAGACCTCCCCAGGAATGACCAAACACCACTGAATGACCTTTTTTTCTGGGCTTACGTGGGTGTGTATTACGCTTCCTGCAAGCATGCACACTGAAGAACAATATAAGAACTTCAGTCACATCTACCACAGAGTTCCCAAAGTGGGGAAACAGAGTCAAGTTAAATGTGGCTTTTCTTGAAATAGAAGGGTTTATTTATATCTCCCAGAAAGATGCTGAACACAGATGAAAAGGTGGCTATCTTACGTATTTACCGTAAATTTTATGAAGTACTAAAATAATAATCTGAAATAATATTTTCAGCTGCAATTTTTAGCCTTCCAGTTACTTAGAACACGCAAATATATTTCTCAGAGTTTCTGCACTCACACCCTGTTTCCCAAATCCCGCATTTATCACTCTTCCCACCAGAAGTATGGACAAAAACTTTATAATGCTCATAGGAATCTTCTTCTACTACTCTGATACACATTCTGATTAAATAAATAGAAATAGACTGAAAAATCATACTTACGAATCTCAGGAAGCCGAACAAGCCCAAAGATGTGTGTGGATGAACTCTTGGACTATAGCTTATATAGAGTTTCTCAGCATTCCAGTGGGGTTTGAATCTCCCTTGGTGCTGGGTTTTTCATTTGGCTGCCTAACAGGAATTGTTTAGGAGCTTTGAGTGATGAAAGTTTTGTGTTTGTCATGGTTATGATTTTATTCAAATTCTCGCATCATGTGATGTCCGTGTTACACCATCATGATTTCTTTAATCTTGGGTCTTAATTGGTTCGAGTTGTAATTCCTTGTATCATTATGATTACTTCACTAGAATTGCCACGTGCATTAAGCTGACTCCACATGTTACTTCTTCCTTTACAAAGTTGTCATAAGCTTGTCTGCTCAGAGATTTTGTAAGACTCATCTTTGGCTGACATGTACTTTTTTCCTAAACAGTCCTTTAATCTGTCTCATAAATTAATTGGAGACAGAGTGCAGCTTCTCCTAGGACTACCCAGGATTTTGTCTTTTCTATCCCTAACTTAAATAGACTTCTTTGATCTAAGCTGTATTTAAAGTGGTCACAAATATCAGCAGAGATCATACAATGCCCATGACAATTCCCAAAAAGCTTTCCATAGAGAGAAACAGTCTTTTGAATGGCAACTTAATCCTATGTAAAAGTATTTTTTTTCACTAAAAGAGGTTAAGTGGGAATTGAAATTCAGCTTTAAAAGAGCTCATGGTTCTGCTGACTGTGATTTGAGCCAAGAAGTCAAAGAAATCGCCATCTAGATATGTATGAGGCCCATGATGCACCAAAACAAGTAGAATTTTGAGGACAAATAGAAGAAGCAGATAAAGAGTTTTTGTTAGATGTCGGGGGTGTCAACTCTTACCAAGTATGTTCTGAAGCTTCTTGGGAAAAAGTTATTTAGAATGATTTCACAAACATTCATGAGCTGGTGTTCAACCCTGTGAATGTTTTGTGTTGGGTTAATGTATGAAAATGTGTGAGTGATTTAGATGCTTCAGTGTTACACAATCACATTTACTCTAATGTACAGGAAACAAGACGGTGCATGCCATTACTTTAATGAGATCATTAGAATTGTGCCATTGGAAGTCATGGGTCAACATTAACATAGCTCTTTCATTAAAAAAATGACCTTTCAACTTTCTGAATCAAATCCTCTGTTAGTATAAGTTACCACATTTATTGTATTATGTCAGTATTCTGAACTATACTTTCCAGAAAAAAATTCTACATACATTGTGATTGTTTACACTTTTTCTGTGTTTTTTTTTTTCCAGAGGACAGTCAGTATCTTTTATCCAACTTTTAATGTCTTGTGCATGTCCAAGGCATTTTACAGACCCTACTCATTGTCATACCAGTGAAATTCCCCGGAACTGAAATATCTTAATACCTGCAATGATTAAGGTGAATACTTCTTGATGTGATACAGCTTCATCCTGATATTTTCATTTTCTCTTCAAGTGATAAAGGGATTGTGTTTAGGTTGTGGGTTTTGTTCTGACATGTATTGTTTCACTTTGGGAGGAGTTGTGGCTGGGAAGGTAGGTGGAAACAATAGCTGGCTAAAGTGACTGTTTCCCCAGCCAAAAATTATCCTGCATTTACTGCAGGGGAAGACAAAAAAAACACTTTCCAGGCATAGAAAGTGAATTACTGCAATCCACATCTCCCAGCCTAGGGGTGAATTCCTTGCCTTGATTCACATTTTACCACAAAGTCTGCAAGTCAGAGCAAGTTGTGTCTCACTACTCTCTCAGGGCAACAAACTCTCTCCACATCAAAGTTCTCTAGTTTCTCCTGCCACTCGGTAGCATTATTCTGTATTTAATAACATTGTGATTTAAATGCTCTGTCAATTACAAAATGTCTTTGGGGGTTCCCATGGGAAAAAAGCGCTTATTGCAGATTTTCTCTAGCCACTCCTGAACAAAGTATAAAAGAGCACTTTAGAAGCACTGACTAATGATTTATGCATGCTGTTTTGTTGTTATAATGAGACTTGTGTGTCCCAATGATGATTATTATCATCAGTCTAAACAGGGAGATGCTCTTAATCATATCACTTCACTAATCAGATTGTGGCTCCTAGTTGCTGGGGATGGCCATCTCTGTCCCTGCCCTGCTTTCGCTTTTGTGTCACCCATGGCAGTGTGCTCCTTTCACAGTGTCTAAAGCTGTCTTGAGCAAGAGATTCATAGACTGTGATAAAAACCTGCTGTTCTTTCCAGTATCTCTCTAGACCTTTAAGCAATCAGAAAGGGTGAGATTGGATGTTAAGGACAAGAGATGAGGAGAGTATAAAGGTCATATTTTCAAAATTAATAATAATTTCTACATATTAAATAAGAGACAGGAGTACTTCATTGGTCTGGAGATCTGTTACTGTTCTAAAGTACTCTTAAAACTAAGCGTGACAAATTTTATCATAGGAGAGAAGGTGGAATGTATTTTCATGGAAGATAAAGAAAACAAATGTTTATGTGCAATAGTAACATAATCAACCAAAGAAAATTCATCATTTATTTTAAATTTTGCTGATAATCATACGATAATGAAGGTCAACTACACAGAATAGACAACAACCAAAAAATCATGCAGATGCAGGATATGATGTTAGCAGAGACAAATATTGAGAGAAAGAAAATACATACAGTATGGAAAAGATGGAAACAGCTATTCTCAATCCTTAACTCTGTTGCTCTCCCCTAAACGTGTACTAACATGGCCATGAATGAATAGTACTGCGCAAAAATATAAATCATAGAAAATCTGTAAAAAATGGGAATGTAAAATATAATCGGAAGGAAACAGACAATTATGGACTAAAGCAGTGAAGCAGAAAATCTTCTGTGCAATAACCAGGTATAAAATTAGCTCAATCCTCAAAAAATATTTAGAATAAGAAAAGATTAAAAAAAACACACTGAAAATCTGATGCATAAAGGATTTATTGAAAAAAGAAAAGCAGGAAAATCAGACTGATGACACAAAACAAAAAAATAGGACAAGAATAATAAAAAGAAATGAAAAAATGCAGATGAACATTTCTACTCTTACAGTTGTCAAGTTAAAAATTCAACCACAGATAACAAAATACAATATTTTACACAGGTTCATGCCACAACTTACAAAGATAATGACAAAGCAAAACAAACGTGAAAATATAACACATTGAAAATACACAAAAGAGCATATTAGGGAAAAGATGTGTGAAACTTGAGTGAAACAAAAAATTAAACCCATAAATATCAGTGTTAATAGAAAAGATTAATAGTTGCAACACTGGGCATGACTAGCTTCTACTAAGAACTTCCATTACTGGCAGGTATGAAGGCTGTAGCAGTTCCTCTAGCAGGATCCACGGGTGTCCCACAGCCGCTGGCTGTAGCGGGGCAGAGCCAGAGGGCTGCAGGCGGCAGGAGCGTAGGGTCTGCCAAAGGTGCAGAGGCCCCCTGAGGCCTGAGTGGCCCCAGCACCGTAGAGGCCTCCCAGCCCCAGGTTGCCTCCAAAGGCGGGTGCTCCGGAGGAGCCCACCACGGCTTGCTGGGGGAAGGAGCTGAGGATGGGGCCAGGGAAGGTGACAACCACAGGCGGTGGCTGGATGAAGGCTGAAGAGTCGGGACACTGGCGGGCGCACAGCTCGTTGCAGCTCTCAGCGATGGGCTGGGGAACGGCCACGCCGGTTCTTGGTGGGCACAGGTCGTAGCAAGACATCTTGGTGTGAGAAGAGATGTGAGCCTGCAAGAGAAATCACCAAACATGGGTGTCATGAGCAAGGGCCAGATCACCCTGGTGGAGCTATGCCCTGATCATCGTACTTTTCTGGGGATGCAGGGGCCAAAGCCACTGCCTTGCCTGCACTGTCCAAGACTTTTGCTTGGCTCATCCAGCCCCCCTCAGCACTCTACTCTCCAAACACTGAGGTCACACGATCCCTTCCCCAGAGCCTATGCAGGGCCTGATCCTGTGTGTCCTGGCCACTCAGCTCCTTTCTCCCTCCTCCTGCCTTGGCTAAGGGCACTCTGGCGATCCCAGACTGCTGCCAGCTTGTCGGCTGCTGTCAGAGCTCTCCTGGATAGGGAGGCACTCACCAGCCTCGGCCACAGGAGCAGAGCCCCGCAGGCACTCACCTACCCTTTTCCTGAGCAGAGCAAGGCAGGAGCGGTGGATGCCAGCGCTCATCCCGGCCAGGGCTTTTATGCCTGGCTGGCGAGGGTGGGGAGCAGTGGCCGCTGTGGGGGCACGTGGCTCACGGCAGCCGGTTCCCGGCCTCTTCCCTGAGTGGCGCGGGGCTGTTTTGCTGACATTGTTTCCTCGCCAGCCCCAACCTGCTCTATCAGCCCCAGTAATTACCCTGCTTGGTCACTTGATTGCTGCCACCTCATGGGTCAAATTGCCCCCACTGGCTTTTCATTATCTTCATGTGTAAGAGAACATGCTGTGTGACAAAAGCTGACCACAAATGCCATGCGTGCCATAGCTTTTCTCCATGGGCTTGGTATCGAGGCATCCTCAGGCATTCATTTCAGAGCCACAGGGCAGATGGGGCTGTTGCTGCTGGGCAACAATTACACTTCCCAAGGACCATGAAACGCAATGCGGAGTGAAGGAAGCCCGGGCACAAAATGTGCTGTTCTGGCAAGGGGATGCTGACTCAGGGAGGGGCAGGAGCCAGACAGCCCCATTATCATGGGCAGGAAGGTGTTTCCAACTCTGCAGATTGGCCCATGTATTGCTGAGCCATGGCAAGGCTGGTATAAAAGCCGTGCCTCTGCCAGTCTCTCCCAACCACCACTCTGGTCGCCTTCTCCTCGAGGAGCAGGGTAAGTCTGTGAGTGCTTGTCCTTCTGGCCCTGTGCACCGTACCCAAGCTCTCCATCTTGGGAGTTACCCTTTGCTGCTTGCTTGCAACCTGTGACTTCTTGCAGAGCACCATCCCATCGCACACCAAGATGTCTTGCTACGACCTGTGCCCACCAAGAACCGGCGTGGCCGTTCCCCAGCCCACCGCTGAGAGCTGCAACGAGCTGTGTGCCCGCCAGTGTCCCGACTCTTCAGCCTTCATCCAGCCACCGCCTGTGGTTGTCACCTTCCCCGGCCCCATCCTCAGCTCCTTCCCCCAGCAAGCCGTGGTGGGCTCCTCCGGAGCACCCGCCTTTGGAGGCAACCTGGGGCTGGGAGGCCTCTACGGTGCCGGGGCCACCCAGGCCTCGGGGGGTCTCTGCACCTTTGGCAGACCCTACGCTCCTGCCGCCTGCAGCCCTCTGGCTCTGCCCCGCTACAGCCAGAGGCTCTGGAACTCCTGTGGCTCCTGCTAGAGCCAGCCCCACGTTCCCCAGAGTTCCTGGGACACCTCACCCCTAGGCCTCCTGTCATTTTTTCTCCGATTTCCCTCTATCCGTGATGCTTTTTCTTCTTGCTCCTTCCCATGCCCATGTGTGTCACTCCACCAGTGCTCCATGAGGAAATTGCTTATCTCTGAAGCAGCCACTGCCTGGTGAAAGCCTGAAGAAAAACCTCACCTGAAGCCCAAAAGGAAAATCTGCATGTTTCAGCCTTATGTTTCTTTCTTTACTGCAATAAAACAAGCATGCATCCAAGGCCTGCTTCTGCATCCTTCTGTCACAGGCCAGCCTGGTCTGCAGTGTTCACTGGTCCTGCTCAGGGCACAGCCAGACAGGCCACGGTGATCTTGCAGCCCTGGCAGCAGAGCCACGCTGAGCTGCCTTTGGGGACACCCCACAGCCTGGGCCCCTCTGGACACACACATCCTCAGAGCTAAGCTCCAGGGACACAGGCTGAAAGTGGCTGCTCCCCTGCCAGCAGGACATGCAGCCCTAGGGCATCTGCAGACTTGCAGCCTCCTTGCACATCTGTGTGTCTACACCATGGCCTGAAGGCAATCAGAAGTAATGCCTGCAGTGGCTCCAGCCCTGGGAGCCTCCTTGGCACTGCTTGAGGCCCAGAGAGAGAAAGCAAAGGGGAGGCTTCGCCTTCCTTATTCCTATGTCGCTCACTTCCCTTTCTCTTTCTTTGTCTTTTTTTCCCATTCCCTCCTTCTAGTTCTCCTTCTCCCTTCTTTTTCCCCTTCTGCTTCTCTCTTCTTCCCCTTCCTTCTCTTTCTCCCTCCATAACACCCACTCGCTGCTCCTTGGTTCCCTGGTGCACACACAAAATTACAGGAATCACAGCCTGATGAAAGTAGAAGCAGACTTTGCAGGGAGGGCATCTTGTCATGCTGCCTCCTTAAACAGGGACACTGGGAGCTGGCTGCCCAGCACCATCTCCAGGGGCTTTTGCACCTCTACAAGGGCAGAGACTTCACAAGCCCCCAGGCCAAGAGGTGTCAGTGCTTGCTCAACCTTACCCTGCAGAAATGGGCTTGGAACGTAACAGCTGAATGAGACTCCATGGGTTTCTCTGGAGCCCATTCCCTCTAGACTTGGTGCTGACACTGTGGAAAAGAGCCTGGCTCCCTCTCCTCAACACCTTCCCTTCAGATATTTACACACATTGATGAACCCCCCTGAGCATCCTCTACATGTGGAGAAGTCCCAGCTCACTTATCCCCTCACCAAAACACAGAGTTTCCCTGTCCTGCCATCATTTTCCTGCTTTAACCCCAGCTAGCCACTAAACACCACAGAGCAGCTTGCCTCTACCTCCCTCCTGGGATGGGAGAGACGGATAAAATTGAGAAAATTCATGGGATGAGAGAAAGACACCTCCATAAGCGAAGCAAATGCCATGCAGACAAGCAAAGCAAACCAAGGAATTCATTCTCCAAGTGCAGCAGATGTTCATCCATCATCAGGAAATCAGGGCTCCATCACATGTAGTTGCTGCAGCACAGGATACAGCGGAATGCCCTTACTAGACCATGTTTCTAGCTCTTGCTCACCTTGGTGTTGCCCGGCACCCCCAGGGCCTTTCTTGACAAATGCACTTCACAACCCACTGCCAGGTACCTGGCATGTGGAATAATACACGCTCTTGCCAGCCCCCTCTGTGCAGATGCTTGGAGATGCTGTGGTGCTGATGGAGAGCACTGGGGGCCTGTTGGAATAGCTGCAGCTCTTGGGAAGAAGAGCAGGCACAGGAGCACTGCCAGAGCCTATTCTGATCCCTTCCATTTCACTGGTCCTTCAAGCCCCACCAAACACTTTTCTCCATCCTGCCTACATGCTCCGTGTCCCACCACCACCCACCGTCACCTAACCTGGGCCCTAAATCCCTTCACCTGGGAGAAGAAGGAAGGGAGACAAAGCTTAGATGCAGGATAACTTTATTGTGCCCAGAGGTGCAGGAGAGACTGTCACAGAACCAGTGGGCAAATCCCAGGGAGACTGGCTGCCACGTCTTTGGGGTAACAGAGGCATTTTCTCAAAAGAATGATTTCTGGCTCCGCATGCCCCCTTGCTGTGGCATTCCAGATCCCCAGGACTTGACCCGTCAGCCCCCCAGGCCTTTTGGGTGGAGTTCTTCCCCTGTGTTATAATTGAGAATTCAGGGGAGGAGAGGAGAGCAGAGAGCAGGAGTAGAGCACAAGGAGAAGAAGCAGGGGTGTGACATTGGCAGCTACCAAGGCCTTGGCTGGAGATGAGGATGTTCAGCACTCCTCAGTGCCCTGTGCTCACCATCTCACTCCTGCAGCGGTGCTGGTGGAGTTGACCTGGCTCTAGCAGGATCCACGGGTGTCCCACAGCCTCTGGCTGTAGTGGGGCAGAGCCAGAGGGCTGCAGGCGGCAGGAGCGTAGGGTCTGCCAAAGGTGCAGAGGCCCCCTGAGGCCTGAGTGGCCCCGGCACCGTAGAGTCCTCCCAGCCCCAGGTTGCCTCCAAAGGCGGGTGCTCCAGAGGAGCCCACCACGGCTTGCTGGGGGAAGGAGCTGAGGATGGGGCCGGGGAAGGTGACAACCACAGGCGGTGGCTGGATGAAGGCTGAAGAGTCGGGACACTGGCGGGCGCACAGCTCGTTGCAGCTCTCAGCGATGGGCTGGGGGACGGCCACACCGGTTCTTGGTGGGCACAGGTCGTAGCAAGACATCTTGGTGTGTAATGGGATGGTGCTCTGCAAGAGTTACAGGTTGTAAGAGAGCAGCAAAGGGTAACTCCCAAGATGTAGTGCCTGGGGCTGGTGCACAGGGCCAGGACAAACACTCACAGACTTACCCTGTTCCTTGAGGAGAAGGCGTCCAGAGTGGTGGTTGGGAGAGACTGGCAGAGGCACGGCTTTTATACCAGCCTTGCCATGGCTCAGCAGTACCTGGGCCAATCTGCAGAGTTGGAAACACCTTCTGTCCTATGATGACGGGGCTGTCTGGCTCCTGCCCCTCCCTGAGTCAGCATCCCCTTGCCAGAACAGCACATTTTGCTTCTGGTCTTCCTTCCCTCCTCATTTTGCTCTGTGGGCTACATGACAGCTAATGTCTCCCACAAAAAGCAATGTTCAAACAAAGCTCCCTAAACACCATTAGGGGCTCCAAAAACAAAGCTCCCCAAAGCTCCCCAAACGTCTCTCCATTCTGGGACAGTGCTGGCCACATCCTGTGATATCTGGGCCCGAGTGGGGATCTGTGCTCTTTATGCCACGCACCTCAGAAAAAGAAGAGCATAGGGACTCTTGCTGGCCCACGTTGGCAGAGGTCAATGGCCAGTGCCTGCAGGCATATGGGAGCCCGCTCCCTTGCTCTTAGCAGGCAGCGATACGCAGTGCTGAGCAGGCAGATCCCCACAGGAATGCCTTTGATTTGACATTTCGTAACCTCACGCTTCTGCAGATAATGGACGCTGGGAACACATCACACTGTCACTGGCGTGCGGGAGGCCTTGACAAGGCAAATTCTTGCTCAGCGCCCTCGTATGCCCTGTGGCTCTGCAATGAAGGCCTGAGGCCACTCTGAGGCCAAGCCCGTGAGGAAGAGCCATGGCACGCATGGCACTTGCAGTCAGCCTTTGTCACGCTGCGTGCCCTCTAACACACGGAGATAATGAAAAGCCAGTGGGGACAATCTGACCCATGAGGTGGCAGCTGTCAAGCGACCAAGCAGGGTAATTGCTGGAGCTGATAGAGCGGGTTGGGGCTGGTGAACAAACGGCATCAGCAAAACAGCCCCGCACCACGCAGGGAGGAGGCCGCGAATTGGCCGCCATGAGCCACGTGCCCCCAGCGCGGCTGCTGCTCCCCGCCCTCGCCAGCCAGGCATAAAAGCCCTGGCCAGGGTGAGCACTGGCATCCATCACTCCTGCCTTGCTCTGCTCAGGAAAAGGGTAGGTGAGTGCCTGCGGGGCTCTGCCTCCAGTGGTCGAGGCTGGTGATGGACTCCCTGTGCAGGAGAGCTCTGGCACAGTGGCCATCCGGGGAGCAGGGTGGGATGGCCAGAGCACCCTGAACCAAGTTAGGAGGATGGAAAAAGGAGCTGCTTGGCGAGGACAAGCAGAGGCAGCAACAACACAGGCTCTGGGGAAGGGGTTATTTGGCCTCTATTTGTGGAGAGTAGGGCCCTGGGGGGGGTCTTTGTGGAAAGTAGTCGGCAGCGCAGAATAGACAATGGCTGTCATACCTTCAGGCACAGGAGAGTTTTAGGAAAAGGACTGGCAAGAATAGGGGGGGTTTTGGCCCTCACTCATGACACCAATCCTTCATGCCTTGTATTGCAGGCTCACCTCTCTCGCACCAAGATGTCTTGCTACGACCTGTGCCCACCAAGAACCGGCGTGGCCGTCCCCCAGCCCATCGCTGAGAGCTGCAACGAGCTGTGCGCCCGCCAGTGTCCCGACTCTTCAGCCTTCATCCAGCCACCGCCTGTGGTTGTCACCTTCCCCGGCCCCATCCTCAGCTCCTTCCCCCAGCAAGCCGTGGTGGGCTCCTCCGGAGCACCCGCCTTTGGGGGCAACCTGGGGCTGGGAGGCCTCTACGGTGCCGGGGCCACTCAGGCCTCGGGGGGCCTCTGCACCTTTGGCAGACCCTACGCTCCTGCCGCCTGCAGCCCTCTGGCTCTGCCCCACTACAGCCAGAGGCTGTGGGACACCCGTGGATCCTGCTAGAGCCAGGTCAACTCCACCAGCACCGCTGCAGGAGTGAGATGGTGAGCACAGGGCACTGAGGAGTGCTGAACATCCTCATCTCCAGCCAAGACCTTGGTAGCTGCCAATGTCACACCCCTGCTTCTTCTCCTTGTGCTCTTCTCCTGCTCTCTGCTCTCGTCTCCTCCCCTGAATTCTCAATTATAACACAGGGGAAGAACTCCACCCAAAAGGCCTGGGGGGCTGACGGGTCAAGTCCTGGGGATCTGGAATGCCACAGCAAGGGGGCATGCGGAGCCAGAAATCATTCTTTTGAGAAAATGCCTATGTTACCCCAAAGACGTGGCAGCCAGTCTCTCTGGGATTTGCCCACTGGTTCTGTGACAGTCTCTCCTGCACCTCTGGGCACAATAAAGTTATCCTGCATCTAAGCTTTGTCTCCCCTCCTTCTTCTCCCAGGTGAAGGGATTTAGGGCCCAGGTTAGGTGACGGTGGGTGGTGGTGGGACACGAAGCATGTAGACAGGATGGAGAAAAGTGTTTGGTGGGGCTTGAAGGACCAGTGAAATGGAAGGGATCAGAATAGGCTCTGGCAGTGCTCCTGTGCCTGCTCTTCTTCCCAAGAGCTGCAGCTATTCCAACAGGCCCCCAGTGCTCTCCATCAGCACCACAGCATCTCCAAGCATCTGCACAGAGGGGGCTGGCAAGAGCGTGTATTATTCCACATGCCAGGTACCTGGCAGTGGGTTGTGAAGTGCAGTTTGTCAAGAAAGGCTCTGGGGGTGCCGGGCAACACCAAGGTGAGCAAGAGGGTTTCTTACTAGAAAGCAAGTTTCTTACTAGACCAACAAACATGGTCTAGTAAGGGCATTCCGCTGTATCCTGTGCTGCAGCAACCACATGTGATGGAGCCCTGATTTCCTGATGATGGATGAACATCTGCTGCACTTGGAGAATGAATTCCTTGGTTTGCTTTTCTTGTCTGCATGGCATTTGCTTCGATTATGGAGGTGTCTTTCTCTCATCCCATGAATTTTCTCAATTTTATCCGTCTCTCCCATCCCAGGAGGGAGGTAGAGGCAAGCTGCTCTGTGGTGTTTAGTGGCTAGCTGGGGTTAAAGCAGGAAAATGATGGCAGGACAGGGAAACTCTGTGTTTTGGTGAGGGGATAAGTGAGCTGGGACTTCTCCACAGGTAGAGGATGCTCAGGGGGGTTCATCAATGTGTGTAAATATCTGAAGGGAAGGTGTTGAGGAGAGGGAGCCAGGCTCTTTTCCACAGTGTCAGCACCAAGTCTAGAGGGAATGGGCTCCAGAGAAACCCATGGAGTCTCATTCAGCTGTTACGTTCCAAGCCCATTTCTGCAGGGTAAGGTTGAGCAAGCACTGACACCTCTTGGCCTGGGGGCTTGTGAAGTCTCTGCCCTTGTAGAGGTGCAAAAGCCCCTGGAGATGGTGCTGGGCAGCCAGCTCCCAGTGTCCCTGTTTAAGGAGGCAGCATGACAAGATGCCCTCCCTGCAAAGTCTGCTTCTACTTTCATCAGGCTGTGATTCCTGTAATTTTGTGTGTGCACCAGGGAACCAAGGAGCAGCGAGTGGGTGTTATGGAGGGAGAAAGAGAAGGAAGGGGAAGAAGAGAGAAGCAGAAGGGGAAAAAGAAGGGAGAAGGAGAACTAGAAGGAGGGAATGGGAAAAAAAGACAAAGAAAGAGAAAGGGAAGTGAGCGACATAGGAATAAGGAAGGCGAAGCCTCCCCTTTGCTTTCTCTCTCTGGGCCTCAAGCAGTGCCAAGGAGGCTCCCAGGGCTGGAGCCACTGCAGGCATTACTTCTGATTGCCTTCAGGCCATGGTGTAGACACACAGATGTGCAAGGAGGCTGCAAGTCTGCAGATGCCCTAGGGCTGCATGTCCTGCTGGCAGGGGAGCAGCCACTTTCAGCCTGTGTCCCTGGAGCTTAGCTCTGAGGATGTGTGTGTCCAGAGGGGCCCAGGCTGTGGGGTGTCCCCAAAGGCAGCTCAGCGTGGCTCTGCTGCCAGGGCTGCAAGATCACCGTGGCCTGTCTGGCTGTGCCCTGAGCAGGACCAGTGAACACTGCAGATCAGGCTGGCCTGTGACAGAAGGATGCAGAAGCAGGCCTTGGATGCATGCTTGTTTTATTGCAGTAAAGAAAGAAACATAAGGCTGAAACATGCAGATTTTCCTTTTGGGCTTCAGGTGAGGTTTTTCTTCAGGCTTTCACCAGGCAGTGGCTGCTTCAGAGATAAGTAATTTCCTCATGGAGCACTGGTGGAGTGACACACATGGGCATGGGAAGGAGCAAGAAGAAAAAGCATCACGGATAGAGGGAAATCGGAGAAAAAATGACAGGAGGCCTAGGGGTGAGGTGTCCCAGGAACTCTGGGGAACGTGGGGCTGGCTCTAGCAGGAGCCACAGGAGTTCCAGAGCCTCTGGCTGTAGCGGGGCAGAGCCAGAGGGCTGCAGGCGGCAGGAGCGTAGGGTCTGCCAAAGGTGCAGAGACCCCCCGAGGCCTGGGTGGCCCCGGCACCGTAGAGGCCTCCCAGCCCCAGGTTGCCTCCAAAGGCGGGTGCTCCGGAGGAGCCCACCACGGCTTGCTGGGGGAAGGAGCTGAGGATGGGGCCGGGGAAGGTGACAACCACAGGCGGTGGCTGGATGAAGGCTGAAGAGTCGGGACACTGGCGGGCACACAGCTCGTTGCAGCTCTCAGCGGTGGGCTGGGGAACGGCCACACCGGTTCTTGGTGGGCACAGGTCGTAGCAAGACATCTTGGTGTGCGATGGGATGGTGCTCTGCAAGAAGTCACAGGTTGCAAGCAAGCAGCAAAGGGTAACTCCCAAGATGGAGAGCTTGGGTACGGTGCACAGGGCCAGAAGGACAAGCACTCACAGACTTACCCTGCTCCTCGAGGAGAAGGCAACCAGAGTGGTGGTTGGGAGAGACTGGCAGAGGCACGGCTTTTATACCAGCCTTGCCATGGCTCAGCAATACATGGGCCAATCTGCAGAGTTGGAAACACCTTCCTGCCCATGATAATGGGGCTGTCTGGCTCCTGCCCCTCCCTGAGTCAGCATCCCCTTGCCAGAACAGCACATTTTGCGCCCGGGCTTCCTTCACTCCGCATTGCGTTTCATGGTCCTTGGGAAGTGTAATTGTTGCCCAGCAGCAACAGCCCCATCTGCCCTGTGGCTCTGAAATGAATGCCTGAGGATGCCTCGATACCAAGCCCATGGAGAAAAGCTATGGCACGCATGGCATTTGTGGTCAGCATTTTTCACACAGCATGTTCTCTTACACATGAAGATAATGAAAAGCCAGTGGGGGCAATTTGACCCATGAGGTGGCAGCAATCAAGTGACCAAGCAGGGTAATTACTGGGGCTGATAGAGCAGGTTGGGGCTGGCGAGGAAACAATGTCAGCAAAACAGCCCCGCGCCACTCAGGGAAGAGGCCGGGAACCGGCTGCCGTGAGCCACGTGCCCCCACAGCGGCCACTGCTCCCCACCCTCGCCAGCCAGGCATAAAAGCCCTGGCCGGGATGAGCGCTGGCATCCACCGCTCCTGCCTTGCTCTGCTCAGGAAAAGGGTAGGTGAGTGCCTGCGGGGCTCTGCTCCTGTGGCCGAGGCTGGTGAGGGCCTCCCTATCCAGGAGAGCTCTGACAGCAGCCGACAAGCTGGCAGCAGTCTGGGATCGCCAGAGTGCCCTTAGCCAAGGCAGGAGGAGGGAGAAAGGAGCTGAGTGGCCAGGACACACAGGATCAGGCCCTGCATAGGCTCTGGGGAAGGGATCGTGTGACCTCAGTGTTTGGAGAGTAGAGTGCTGAGGGGGGCTGGATGAGCCAAGCAAAAGTCTTGGACAGTGCAGGCAAGGCAGTGGCTTTGGCCCCTGCATCCCCAGAAAAGTACGATGATCAGGGCATAGCTCCACCAGGGTGATCTGGCCCTTGCTCATGACACCCATGTTTGGTGATTTCTCTTGCAGGCTCACCTCTCTTCTCACACCAAGATGTCTTGCTACGACCTGTGCCCACCAAGAACCGGCGTGGCCGTTCCCCAGCCCATCGCTGAGAGCTGCAACGAGCTGTGCGCCCGCCAGTGTCCCGACTCTTCAGCCTTCATCCAGCCACCGCCTGTGGTTGTCACCTTCCCCGGCCCCATCCTCAGCTCCTTCCCCCAGCAAGCCGTGGTGGGCTCCTCCGGAGCACCCGCCTTTGGAGGCAACCTGGGGCTGGGAGGCCTCTACGGTGCCGGGGCCACCCAGGCCTCAGGGGGCCTCTGCACCTTTGGCAGACCCTACGCTCCTGCCGCCTGCAGCCCTCTGGCTCTGCCCCGCTACAGCCAGAGGCTCTGGAACTCCTGTGGCTCCTGCTAGAACTAGGTCAACTCCGCCATACCCATTCTGGGGTGAGATGGTGGGCACAGGCTTACTGAGGAATGCCAAACATCCTCATCCCTAGCCAAGGCCTTGGTAGCTGGCCATGTTGCACGCCCTCCGCTCATCCCTGCCCTCTTCTGCCTTCTGCTCTCCTCCCGTTTCCTCTCTCTTCTCAGCTGGGGCAAGGTCTGCACGTAAAAGGTCCTGAGGGGCTGATGGACCAAGTCCTGGGGATCTGGAATGCTTCAGCAAGGCAGTATGCCGGGCTTAAACCCTGCTCTGGAGACATTGCCTCTGTTTCCTCCAACAAGTGGTTGTCAGCCTCTCTGGGATTTGCCCTCCGGTTCAGTGACAGTCTTTGCAGCTCCTCTGTTCACAATAAAGTTTTCCTGCATCTAAGCTTTGTCTCCCTCTCTTGTTCTCCCATCTGGGGAGACCATGGAGGCAGGTTCCAGGCAATTGCGAGAGGGCAAATGCTGGTGCTGAGATGCCCAGCTTAGGGGAGGGTGGGTGCTGGTTGGTCATGAAACGTTCAGGCAGGATGGAGAAAAGCTTTTGGTGGGTCTGGCAGGAGCTGGAGAAAGGGCAGAGATCTAGGCAGGCTCAGGCAGTGCTCTTGTGCCTGCTCTTCACTGCCTGGGAGAGGCACCAGCTCCAACAGGTCGCAATGCTCTGCAGAAACAATACAGCATTTCCAGGCATCTGCAGAGAGGAGACTTCGCAAGAGAGAGTATTAAACCCTGTGCCAGCAACGTGGCATGGGTTGTGAAGAGCAGTTTGTCAGGAAAGGCCCTGGGAGTGCGTAGGGACACCAATTGGAGCAGAATCCAGAAACATACCTTGGCCAAAATCGTTCAGCCGCACCCTGTGCTACAAATATTACATGTGGGGGAGTCCTGCTTTTCTGGAGATGACTGAACATCTGCTGTTGACGGCAAGTCTAGAATGAATTTCTTGTTTGCGTTTCTTGCCTCCATTGCATTTGCTTCCCTTGTGGAGGTTTCTTTCCTTCATTCCATGAGTTTTATCAATTTTAGACCTCCAATTCTCTCCCCATCCCTGCGGGGAGGTTCTGAGTGAGCTGTTCTGTGGTGCTTAGTGGGCAGATGAAAGCAGGTAAATGACAGCAGGACAGAGAGAATCTGTCCTGTATTGAGGGCATGAGAGAGCTGGGCTACCTACTATTTGTACAGAGGATGCTCTTGGGGTCTAATCAGTGTGCACACAGGTCTGACGTTAAGCTGTCAAGCAGCAGGAGTTAGGCTCTTTTCAGAGGTGTCCAGTGCCAGGACTACAGGAAATGGATTCCAGGGAAACCTCAACTTCCCAAGGCAGTTTTGCACGGTGAGGATGAGCAAGTACTGGAAGAGGTTGTCATGGATCTTGTGGAGTCTCTGTTCTTGGAGTTCAACAATAGCCTCTGGACATGGTTCAGGGCAGCCAGATCCAGGTGATCTTGCTTGAGGAAACAGCATGAAAAGATGTGTTCTTGCACAGGCTGCTCCCACTCTCTTCAAGCCATGATTCCTGTGATCTAGTGTCTGCACTGGGGAAAGAAGTTGGCTCAACCATGTTAGTCTGTCCTGGGAGTTAGTGAGAGAAAAAGAGAAGGAAGGGGAAGAAGAAGAGGGAATAGTCAGAAGTGTAAGGGGAGGAAGCAGAGGAAAGAGGTTGAATAAGGCCGGAGGGAAGCAATCAGAGGACGAGAAAAGGGATAGGCATAGGGAAGAGTAATTGGAGGCCTCCCCTCTGCTTTCTCCCGCAGCAAATCAAGCAGAGCCAAGGAAGCACATAGGGCTGGATCCACTGCAGACATTGCCCCGGAGCGCCTCTAGTCCCTGGTGCAGAGCCAGTCATGCGCAAGGAGGCTGGAGGTCTGCAGATGCCTTAGGGCTGCGTGTCCCCTGGCAAGGGAGCAAGCGCATTCAGCCTGGGCTCCTGGAGCTCAGCTGTGGGGCCGTTTGTGTCCAGAGCTCCCGAAAAGCAGCTAAGCCTGGCTTTGCTGCTGCCGGGGCTGGGAGACTACCATGGCCTGTCTGGCAGAGCTCTGAGCAGGATGGGAAAAGCCTGGTAGCCCAGGCTGGTCTGTGAACAGAAAGGTGTAGAGGCAGGCATTGGATGCAGGCTTGTTTTATTGCAGTGGAGAAAGACACACATAAGGCAGAAGTCGGAAGGTTTTCCTTCACAATTTCTGGAGAGGGGTTCCGTCAAAGTTCTCCCAGTAGGAGGCTGATTTACAGGCTAGGAAGTTTCTCGTGGGATTCTGGTGGATTAATGCATTTGGGCACAGGCAGGAGCAAGGGGGAGGAGAAGGGTCATTGAGAGAGGGAAAGGAGGGTAGGGAAAGGAGGGTAAGAAAAGAAGGAGGCCTAGGCATGAGGGGTCCCAGGAACTCTGGGGAATGTGGGGCTGGCTCTAGCAGGAGGCGCAGGAGTTCCAGAGCCTCTGGCTGTAGCGGGGTAGAGCCAGAGGGCTGCAGGCGGCAGGAGCGTAGGGTCTGCCAAAGGTGCAGAGGCCCCCTGAGGCCTGAGTGGCCCCGGCACCGTAGAGGCCTCCCAGCCCCAGGTTGCCTCCAAAGGCAGGTGCTCCAGAGGAGCCCACCACGGCTTGCTGGGGGAAGGAGCTGAGGATGGGGCCGGGGAAGGTGACAACCACAGGCGGTGGCTGGATGAAGGCTGAAGAGTCGGGACACTGGCGGGCGCACAGCTCGTTGCAGCTCTCAGCGATGGGCTGGGGAACGGCCACGCCGGTTCTTGGTGGGCACAGGTCGTTGCAAGACATCTTGGTGTGAGAAGAGAGGTGAGCCTGCAATACCAAGCAGGGGTGTCATGAGTGAGGGCTTGATCCTTCCTAGTTAAGAAGCACTGTTCTTCTCATGCTACCCTGCAGATACAGTGGCCAGAGACACGGCCTTGCCTGCACTGCCCAACGCTTGTCTTTCGCCCGTCCATTCCCCATCTATGCCCTATTCTTCACGCACAGAGTCTGCACAATCCCTTCCCCAGAGCCTGTGCTGATCCTGGCTCTGCTTGTCCTCACCAAGCGGCTCCATCCTCCCTCCTTCCACCATCATTTAGGGCTGTCTGGACATCCCAGCTTGCTCCCCGGATGGCCACTTTGCCAGAGCTCTCCTGGATAGGGAGTCCCTCACCGGACTCAACCACCAGAGGCAGAGCCCCACAGGCACTCACCTACCCTTTTCCTGAGCAGAGCAAGGCAGGAGCGGTGGATGCCAGCGCTCACCCTGGCCAGGGCTTTTATGCCCGGCTGGCGAGGGCGGGGAGCAGCGGCCGCGCTGGGGGCACGTGGCTCACGGCAGCCAATTCGCGGCCTCCTCCCTGCGTGGTGCTGGGCTGTTTTGCTGATGCCGTTTGCTCACCAGCCCCAAACCAGCATTATCAGCTCCAGCAATTACCCTGCTTGGTCGCTTGACAGCTGCCACCTCATGGGTCAGATTGTCCCCACTGGATTTTCATTATCTCCGTGTGTCAGCTGGCACGCAGTGTGTCAAAGGCTGACTGCATTTGCCCTGCATGCCATGGCTCTTCCTCATGGGTTTGGTCTCAGGACATCTTCAGGCATACTTTTCAAAGCCACAGGGCAGACCAGACTGCTTTCACTGGGCAAGAATTATTTTTTCAAAGGCTTCCTACGCATGCGCAACTGTGTGACGTGCAGCCTGTGTCCATTATCTACAGAGGCAAGAGGTTACGAAATGCCAAATCAAAGGCACTTCTGCTGTGCACTGCTTGCTCAGCACCATGAACAACTCTCCAGCTAAGAGGAGCCAGCTTCCATCTGCCTACAGGTGCTGACTTTCGTCCTCTCTAATGCTGGGGCAGAAAGAGAGATCATACTTTTCTTTCCTGAGATACATGGCTTCAGGAGCATATACACACAATCAGGCCTACACATTATGAGATATGGCCAGTGCTGCTCCAGCACCACATGAATTTTGCAGTGTCTGTGGTGCTGGGGAGGCACAGGGTTTTGTGTGGGAGATGTTAGCTGTTATGTAGCCCATAGAGCAGAATGGGGAAGGGAGGAAACTTGGAATTAGCATGAGCTGTCCTGGCAAGGGGATGCTGACTCAGGAAGGGGCAGCAGATAGACAGCCCCATCATCACGGGGAGGAAGGTGGTTCCAACTCTGCAGATTGGTCCAGGCACTGCTGAGCCGTGGCAGGACTGGTATAAAAGGTGTGCCTTTGCCAGTCTCTCCCAACCACCACTCACGTCGCCTACTCCTCAGGGAATAAGGTAAGTCTGTGAATGCTTGTCCTCCACTCCCGGTGCACCATCACCAAGCTGTTCATCTTGGGAGTTACCTTTTGCTGCTCTCTTGCAACCTGTGACTTCTTGCAGAGCACCATCCCATCGCACACCAAGATGTCTTGCTACGACCTGTGCCCACCAAGAACCAGCGTGGCCGTCCCCCAGCCCATTGCTGAGAGCTGCAACGAGCTGTGCGCCCGCCAGTGTCCCGACTCTTCAGCCTTCATCCAGCCACCGCCTGTGGTTGTCACCTTCCCCGGCCCCATCCTCAGCTCCTTCCCCCAGCAAGCCGTGGTGGGCTCCTCTGGAGCACCCGCCTTTGGAGGCAACCTGGGGCTGGGAGGCCTCTACGGTGCTGGGGCCACTCAGGCCTCAGGGGGTCTCTGCACCTTTGGCAGACCCTACGCTCCTGCCGCCTGCAGCCCTCTGCCTCTACCCCGCTACAGCCAGAGGCTGTGGAACACCCGTGGCTCCTGCTAGAGCCAGGTCAACTCCACCATACCCATTCTGGGGTGAGATGGTGTGCACAGGCTACTGAGGAGTGCTGAGCATCCTCATCCCCAACCAAGGCCTGGGCAGCCAGCTATGTCCCATGCCCTCTGCTTATCGCTGTCATCTTCTCCTGCTCTCTGCTCTTCTCACCACCCCTCTCTTCTCAGTTGTCACAGGGTGCTGACCCTGCACCCAAATTCACTCAGGGGCTGGTGAGCTAAGTCCTACAAATTTGGAATATCGAGCCAAGGCAGCATGCAGAGCCAAAAGCTACACTCTGGAATAGATGCCTCTGCTTCCCCAAAGATGTGGCAGCCAGTCTCTCTTGGATTTGCTCACAGACTATATGGCAGTCTTTCCTGCCCCTCTATGCACAATAAAGTTTTCCTGCATCTAAGCTTTGTCTCCCTCCCTTCTTCTCCCAGCTGGGGAGACCATGGAGATGTTTGCCAGGAAAATGTAGGAGGGCAAATGTTGGTCTTGAGATGCCCCAGTTATGGAAGGATGGGTGGTGTTGGGTCTTGAGGCATGCAGGGAGGATGTAGAAAGTATTCTGGTGGGGATTACAGCTGCCGAGGAAAAGACAAAGATCAGAACAGGCTCTTGCAGTGCTCCTGTGCTTGCTCTTCACTGCCTGGGAGTGGCACCATATCTGACAGGTTACGAAGCTGTGCTAAAGCAATACAGCCATACTCTTTTCACAGATGTCCAGTGCCAGGACTACAGGTAATAGGCTCCAGCAAAAAGACGGAGGCTCTGTCTCAACATCCCAAGCCTTTTTTTCATCATGAGAGTGAGGAATTGCTGGCAGAAGTTGCTCAAGATCTTGTGGAGACTTTGTTCTTGGAGATGCACAAAAGCCCCTGGAAATGGTGCTGGGCTGCTGGCTCCTTGTGATCCTACTTGAAGTAACAGCATGACAAAATGCCCACCCTGCAAAGGCTGCTCTCACTGTCACCAAACTGTGATCCCTGTGATTTTGTGTGTGCAGCAGGGAACCACAGAGCAGTGAGCATGCTGGTCTGTGTTGGCAGTTAGCAAGGGAAAAAGAGAAGTAAAGGGAGAAAGAAGAGGAAATTGGCAAATGTGTGAGAAGAGGAAGTAGAAGAAAGGTGCGAAGGAAGGAGGAGGGAATGGAACAGAGGAGGAAGTAAGGGACCAGTGTAGGGAGGAGGGTGGGGAAGCCTCCCCTTTGCTTTCTCCCACAGAGGCTCAAGCAGAGGCTGGAAGGCACACAGGGCTGAAGCCACAGCAATCATTGCTTCAGGCTTCCTCCAGTCCAAGGTGCAGACCCACTGATGCACAAGGAGCCTGGAGGTCTGCAGATGCCCTAGGGCTGCATGTCCTGCTGGCAGGGGAGCAAGCGCCTTCAGCCAGGGCCCACAGAGTGCAGTTGTGGGGCCATGTGTGTCCAGAGCTTCACAGGCAGTGTTGTGCCCCAAAAACAGCTCAGGTTGGCTGTGCTGCTGGGGCTGGGAGACTGCCATGGCCTGGCAGGCAGGGCTGGAATCAGGCTGGGCAGTAAGAGGTGCAGAGACAGGCACTGGATGCAGGCTTGTTTTATTGAACTGGAAAATAACACATAAGGCAGAAGGAGGCGGAATTTTCTTCTGGGTTCAAAGAAAGATGTTCCATCAGGCTTCTCTCAGCAGGAGAAAAGTAGGGGAAATAAGACAGGAAGCCTAAGGGTGAGGTGTCCCAAAAACTCTCAAGTCATTGGGGCTGGCTCTAGCAGGAGGCACAGGAGTTCCACAGCCTCTGGCTGTAGCGGGGCAGAGCCAGAGGGCTGCAGGCGGCAGGAGCGTAGGGTCTGCCAAAGGTGCAGAGGTCCCCCGAGGCCTCAGTGGCACCAGCACCGTAGAGGCCTCCCAGCCCCAGGTTGCCTCCAAAGGCGGGTGCTCCAGAGGAGCCCACCACGGCTTGCTGGGGGAAGGAGCTGAGGATGGGGCCGGGGAAGGTGACAACCACAGGCGGTGGCTGGATGAAGGCGGAAGAGTCGGGACACTGGCGGGCGCACAGCTCGTTGCAGCTCTCAGCGATGGGCTGGGGAACGGCCACGCTGGTTCTTGGTGGGCACAGGTCGTAGCAAGACATCTTGGTGTGCGATGGGATGGTGCTCTGCAAGAGTTAGAGGTTGTAAGAGAGCAGCAAAGGGTAACTCGCAAGAGGGAGACCTTGGGGCTGGTGCACGGGGCCAGAAGGACAAGCACTCACAGACTTACCCTGTTCCCTAGGAAAAGGCGACGTGAGTGGTGGTTGAGAGAGACTGGCAGAGGCATGGCATTTATAACGGTCTTGCCATGGCTCAGCAGTACCTGGGACAATCTGCAGGGTTGGAAACACCTTCTGTCCCGTGATGACGGGGCTGTCTGGCTCCTGCCCCTCCCTGAGTCAGTATCCCCTTGCCAGAACAGCACATTCTGCTTCCAGGTTTCCTTCCCTCCCCATTCTGCTCTGTGGGCTACATGAGAGCTAACATCTCCCACACACAGCAGTGTTCCTCCAAAGATCTCCAAACTCCGTCAAGGACCTTCTGGGTCGGGTCTGGCCACATCCTCCGATGCTTGGGCCCGAGTGGGGATCTGTGCTCATTATGCCACGCACCTCAGGAAAGAAGAGCATGAGGACTCTTGTTGGCTCACATTGGCAGAGGTCAATGGCCAGTGCCTGCAGGCATATGGGAGCCCGCTCCCTTGCTCTTAGCAGGCAGCGATACGCAGTGCTGTGCAGGCAGATCCCAACAGGAATGCCTTAGATTTGACATTTCGCAACCTCACGCTTCTGCAGATAATGGACGCTGGGAACACATCACACTGTCACTGGCGTGCGGGAGGCCTTAACAAGGCAAATTCTTGCTCAGCGCCCTCGTATGCCCTGTGGCTCTGCAATGAAGGCCTGAGGCCACTCTGAGATCAAGCCCGTGAGGAAGAGCCATGGCACGCATGGCACTTGCAGTCAGCCTTTGTCACGCTGCGTGCCCTCTAACACACGGAGATAATGAAAAGCCAGTGGGGACAATCTGACCCATGAGGTGGCAGCTGTCAAGCGACCAAGCAGGGTAATTGCTGGAGCTGATAGAGCGGGTTGGGGCTGGTGAGCAAACGGCATCAGCAAAACAGCCCCGCACCACGCAGGGAGGAGGCCGCGAATTGGCCGCCATGAGCCACGTGCCCCCAGCGCGGCCGCTGCTCCCCGCCCTCGCCAGCCAGGCATAAAAGCCCTGGCCAGGGTGAGCACTGGCATCCATCGCTCCTGCCTTGCTCTGCTCAGGAAAAGGGTAGGTGAGTGCCTGCGGGGCTCTGCCTCCGGTGGTTGAGTCTGGAGAGGCGCTCCATATCCAGGAGAGCTCTGGCACAGTGGCCATCGGGGGAGCAGGTTGGGGGGGGGGGCAGACAGCCCTAAATGATGGTGGAAGGAGGGAGGATGAAGCCACTTGGCGAGGACAAGCAGAGCCAGGATCAGCACAGGCTCTGGGGAAGGGATTGCGCAGACTCTGTGTGTGAAGAATAAGGCACACATGAGGAATGGACGGGCCAAAGGCAAGCATTGGAAAGTGCAGGCAAGGCAGTGTCTCTGGCCCCTGTATCTGCAGGGCAGCATGAGAAGAACAGTGCTTCTTAACTAGGAAGGATCAAGCCCTCACTCATGACACCCCTGCTTGGTATTGCAGGCTCACCTCTCTTCTCACACCAAGATGTCTTGCTACGACCTGTGCCCACCAAGAACCAGCGTGGCCGTCCCCCAGCCCATCGCTGAGAGCTGCAACGAGCTGTGCGCCCGCCAGTGTCCCGACTCTTCAGCCTTCATCCAGCCACCGCCTGTGGTTGTCACTTTCCCCGGCCCCATCCTCAGCTCCTTCCCCCAGCAAGCCGTGGTGGGCTCCTCCGGAGCACCCGCCTTTGGAGGCAACCTGGGGCTGGGAGGCCTCTACGGTGCTGGGGCCACTCAGGCCTCAGGGGGCCTCTGCAACTTTGGCAGACCCTACGCTCCTGCCGCCTGCAGCCCTCTGCCTCTGCCCCGCTACAGCCAGAGGCTCTGGAACTCCTGTGCCTCCTGTTAGAGGCAGCCCCACATTCTCCACGGTTCCTGGGGTAACTCACCCCTAAGTCTCCTCCTTCTCTTTCCTTGCTTTCCCTCTCTCAATGACACTTCTCCGCCCCCTTGCTCCTGCCTGTGCCCAAATGCATTAATCCACCAGAAACCCACAAGGTCGTCAGCCTCTCTGGGATTTGCCCTCCGGTTCAGCGACAGTCTTTGCAGCTCCTCTGTTCACAATAAAGTTTTCCTGCATCTAAGCATTGTCTCCCTCTCTTGTTCTCCCAGCTGGGGAGACCATGGAGGCAGGTTCCAGGCAATTGCGAGAGGGCAAATGCTGGTGCTGAGATGCCCAGCTTAGGGGAGGATGGGTGCTGGTTGGTCATGAAACGTTCAGGCAGGATGGAGAAAAGCTTTTGGTGGGTCTGGCAGGAGCCGGAGAGAGGGCAAAGATCTAGATAGGGTCAGGCAGTGCTCTTGTGCATGCTCTTCGCCACCTGGGAGAGGCACCAGCTCCAACAGGTCGCAATGCTCTGCAGAAACAATACAGCATTTCCAGGCATCTGCAGAGAGGTGACTTCGCAAGAGAGAGTATTAAACCCTGTGCCAGCAACGTGGCATGGGTTGTGAAGAGCAGTTTGCCAGGAAAGGCCCTGGGAGTGCGTAGGGACACCAAGGGGCGCAGGATCCAGAAACATACCATGGCCAAAATCGTTCAGCTGCACTCTGTGCTACAAATATTACATGTGGGGGAGTCCTGCTTTTCTGGAGATGGCTGAATATCTCCTGTCAATGGCAAGTCTAGAATGAAATCCGTGCTTGCTTTGCTTCCCTCCATCGAGTCTGCTTCCCTCGTGGAGGTTTCTTTCCCTCATCCCATGAGTTTTCTCAATTTTAGACCTCCAATTCTCTCCCCATCCCTGCGGGGAGGTTCGGAGCGAGCTGCTCTGTGGTGTTTAGTGGGCAGCTGGGATGAAAGCAGGTAAATGACAGCAGGACAGAGCGAATCTGTCCGGTATTGAGGGCATGAGAGAGCTGGGCTACCGACTGTTTGCACAGAGGATGCTCTTGGGGTCTAATCAGTGTGCACACAGGTCTGAAGTTAAGCTGTCGAGCAGCAGGAGTTAGGCTCTTTTCAGAGGTGCCCAGTGCCAGGACTACAGGAAATGGGATCCAGGGAAACCTCAACTTCCCAAGGCAGTTTTTCACGGTGAGGATGAGCAAGTACTGGAAGAGCTTGTCGTGGATCTTATGCAGTCTCAGTGTTTGGAGGTGGACAATAGCCTCTGGACATGGTTCAGGGCCGCCAGATCCAGGTGATCTTGCTAGAGGCAGCAGCAGGACAAGATGCTTTCCTTGCAAAGCATACTTATACTCTCATCAAGCTGTGATTCTTGTGCGTAAGTGTGTGCATCAGGGAAAGAAGTTGGCTCAACCATGTTGGTCTGTGCTTGGAGTGAGCAAGAGAAAAAGAGAAGGAAGGGGAAGAAGAAGAGGGAAAAAGCAGAAGGGTAAATGCAGGTAGAAGAGGGAAGTGGTTGAATAACACAGAGTGAAATGAACCAGAGAAGGGGAAAATAGAGAGGCAAAGGAAAAGGGGTAGGAAACGGGTTAGGAAATGGAATTGAAGGCCTTCCATCTGCTTTCTTCCGCAGCAAATCAAGCAGAGCCAAGGAGGCACACAGGGCTGGAGTCACTGCAGACATTGCCCCGGAGCGCCTCTAGTCCCTGGTGCAGAGCCAGTCATGCACAAGGAGGCTGGAGGTCTGCAGACGCCTTGGGGCTGCGTGTCCCACTGGCAAGGGAGCAAGAGCATTCAGCCTGGGCCCCTGGAGCTCAGCTGTGGGGTCGTGTGTGTCCAGAGCTCCCGAAAAGCAGCTAAGCCTGGCTTTGCTGCTGGCAGAGCTGGGAAACTACCATGGCCTGTCTGGCAGAGCCCTGAGTAGGATGGGGAAAGCCGGGTAGCCCAGGCTGGTCTGTGAACAGAAAGGTGCAGAGGCAGGCATTGGATGCAGGCTTGTTTTATTGCTTGTTTTCCTTCACGGTTTCTGGAGAGGTGGTCCTTCAAAGTTCTCCCAGTAGGAGGCTGCTTATAGACAAGGAAGTTTCTTGTGGGTTTCTGGTGGATTAATGCATTTGGGCACAGGCAGGAGCAAGGGGGAGGAGAAGTGTCATTGAGAGAGGGAAAGCAAGGAAAGAGAAGGAGGAGACTTAGGGGTGAGTTACCCCAGGAACCGTGGAGAATGTGGGGCTGCCTCTAACAGGAGGCACAGGAGTTCCAGAGCCTCTGGCTGTAGCGGGGCAGAGGCAGAGGGCTGCAGGCGGCAGGAGCGTAGGGTCTGCCAAAGGTGCAGAGGCCCCCTGAGGCCTGAGTAGTGGCCCCGGCACCGTAGAGGCCTCCCAGCCCCAGGTTGCCTCCAAAGGCGGGTGCTCCGGAGGAGCCCACCACGGCTTGCTGGGGGAAGGAGCTGAGGATGGGGCCGGGGAAAGTGACAACCACAGGCGGTGGCTGGATGAAGGCTGAAGAGTCGGGACACTGGCGGGCGCACAGCTCGTTGCAGCTCTCAGCGATGGGCTGGGGGACGGCCACGCTGGTTCTTGGTGGGCACAGGTCGTAGCAAGACATCTTGGTGTGAGAAGAGAGGTGAGCCTGCAATACCAAGCAGGGGTGTCATGAGTGAGGGCTTGAGCCTTCCCAGTTAAGAAGCACTGTTCTTCTCATGCTGCCCTGCAGATACAGTGGCCAGAGCCACGGCCCTGCCTGTGCTGCCCAATGCTTGTCTTTCGCCCGTCCATTCCCCATCTACGCCCTATTCTTCACGCACAGAGTCCTCACAATCCCTTCCCCAGAGCCTGGGCTGATCCTGGCTCTGCTTGTCCTCGCCAAGTGGCTCCATCCTCCCTCCTTCCACCAGCAATTAAGGCTGTCTGCCCCCCCCCCCATCCTGGTCCCTGGAATGCAACTGTGCCAGAGCTCTCCTGGATAGGGAGTCCCTCACCAGCCTCGGCTACAGAAGAAGAGCCCCGCAGGCACTCACCTACCCTTTTCCTGAGCAGAGCAAGGCAGGAGCGGTGGATGCCAGTGCTCACCCTGGCCAGGGCTTTTATGCCCGGCTGGCGAGGGAGGGGAGCAGCGGCCGCGCTGGGGGCACGTGGCTCATGGCAGCCAATTCGCGGCCTCCTCCCTGCGTGGTGCGGGGCTGTTTTGCTGATGCCGTTTGCTCACCAGCCCCAACCCGCTCTATCAGCTCCAGCAATTACCCTGCTTGGTCGCTTGACAGCTGCCACCTCATGGGTCAGATTGTCCCCACTGGCTTTTCATTATCTGCGTGTGTTAGAGGGCACGCAGCGTGACAAAGGCTGACTGCAAGTGCCATGCGTGCCATGGCTCTTCCTCACGGGCTTGATCTCAGAGTGGCCTCAGGCCTTCATTGCAGAGCCACAGGGCATACGAGGGCGCTGAGCAAGAATTTGCCTTGTCAAGGCCTCCCGCACGCCAGTGACAGTGTGATGTGTTCCCAGCGTCCATTATCTGCAGAAGCGTGAGGTTGCGAAATGTCAAATCAAAGGCATTCCTGTTGGGATCTGCCTGCTCAGCACTGCGTATCGCTGCCTGCTAAGAGCAAGGGAGCGGGCTCCCATATGCCTGCAGGCACTGGCCATTGACCTCTGCCAATGTGAGCCAACAAGAGTCCTCATGCTCTTCTTTCCTGAGGTGCGTGGCATAATGAGCACAGATCCCCACTCGGGCCCAAGCATCGGAGGATGTGGCCAGACCCGACCCAGAAGGTCCTTGATGGAGTTGGAGGAATACTGCTGTGTGTGGGAGATGTTAGCTCTCATGTAGCCCGCAGAGCAGAATGGGGAGGGAAGGAAACCTGGAAGCAGAATGTGCTGTTCTGGCAAGGGGATGCTGACTCAGGGAGGGGCAGGAGCCAGACAGCCCCGTCATCATAGGACACAAGGTGTTACCAATTCTGCAGATTGGCCCAGGCAATGCTGAGCCATGGCAAGGCTGGTATAAAAGCCGTGCCTCTGCCAGTCTCTCCCAACCACTACTCACTTCGCCTTCTCCTTGAGGAACAGGGTAAGTCTGTGAGCGCTTGTCCTTCTGGCCCTGTGCACCAGCCCCAAGGTCTCCCTCTTGCGAGTTACCCTTTGCTGCTCTCTTACAACCTCTAACTCTTGCAGAGCACCATCCCATCGCACACCAAGATGTCTTGCTACGACCTGTGCCCACCAAGAACCAGCGTGGCCGTCCCCCAGCCCATCGCTGAGAGCTGCAACGAGCTGTGCGCCCGCCAGTGTCCCGACTCTTCAGCCTTCATCCAGCCTCCGCCTGTGGTTGTCACCTTCCCCGGCCCCATCCTCAGCTCCTTCCCCCAGCAAGCTGTGGTGGGCTCCTCCGGAGCACCCGCCTTTGGAGGCAACCTGGGGCTGGGAGGCCTCTACGGTGCTGGGGCCACTCAGGCCTCAGGGGGTCTCTGCACCTTTGGCAGACCCTACGCTCCTGCCGCCTGCAGCCCTCTGGCTCTGCCCCGCTACAGCCAGAGGCTGTGGAACTCCTGTGGCTCCTGCTAAAGCCAGCCCCATATTCTCCACGTTTCCTGGGGGAACTCACCCCTAGGCCTCCTCCTTTTCTTACCTTGCTTTCCCTCTCTCAATGACACTTCTCCTCCCCCTTACTCCTGCCTGTGCCCAAATGCATTAATCCACCAGAAACCCACAGGAAATATCCTTGTCTCTAAAGCAGCCTCCTATTGGGAGAACTTTGAAGAATCACCTCACCACAAACCGTGAAGGAAAACCTTCCGACTTCTGCCTTATGTGTGTCTTTCTCCACTGCAATAAAACAAGCCTGCATCCAAAGCCTGCCTCTGCACCTTTCTGTTCACAGACCAGCCTGGGCTTCCAGGCTTTCCCCATCCTACTCAGGGCTCTGCCAGACAGGCCATGGTAGTTTCCCAGCTCTGGCAGCAGCAAAGCCAGGCTTAGCTGCTTTCCGGGAGCTCTGGACACACACGGCCCCACAGCTGAGCTCCAGGAGCCCAGGCTGAATGCTCTTCCTCCCTTGCAGGGGGACACGCAGCCCCAAGGCGTCTGCAGACCTCCAGCCTCCTTGCGCATCACTGGCTCTGCACCAGGGACTGGAGGCGCTCCGGGGCAATGTCTGCAGTGACTCCAGCCCTGCGTGCCTCCTTGGCTCTGCTTGCTGCGGAAGAAAGCAGATGGAAGGCCTTCAGTTCCATTTCCTATCCCTTTTCCTTTGCCTATCTATTCTCCCCTTCTCTGGGTCATTTCACCCTGTGTTATTCAACCACTTACCTCTTCTACCTCCCCTTACCCTTCTGCCTTTTTCGTCTTTTTCTTCCCCTTCCTTCTATATTCTCCTGCCCACTCCAAGCACAGACCAACATGGTTGAGCCAACTTCTTTCCCTGATGCACACACTTAAGCACAAGAATCACAGCTTGATGAGAGCATAAGTATGCTTTGCAAGGAAGGCATCTTGTCATGCTGCTGCTTCTTGCAAGATCACCTGGATCTGGCTGCCCTGAACCATGTCCAGAGTCTATTGTACATCTCCAAGCACAGAGACTCCATAAGATCCACGACAACCTCTTTCAGTACTTGCTCATCCTCACCGTGAAAAACTGCCTTGGGAAGTTGAGGTTTCCCTGGATCCCATTTCCTGTCGTCCTTGCCCTGGACACCTCTGAAAAGAGCCTGACTCCAGCTGCTCGAAAGCTTAACTTCAGACCTGTGTGCACACTGATTAGACCCCAAGAGCATCCTCTGTGCAAACAGTAGGTAGCCCAGCTCTCTCATGCCCTCAATACAGGACAGATTCTCTCTGTCCTGCTGTCATATTTCCTGCTTTCATCCCAGCCGCCCACTAAGCACCACAGAGCAGCTCACTCAGAACCTCCCCGCAGGGATGGGGAGAGAATTGGAGGTCTAAAATTGAGAAAACTCATGGGATGAGGGAAAGAAACCTCCACGAGGGAAGCAGACTCGATGGAGGGAAGCAAAGCAAGCAGGGATTTCATTCTAGACTTGCCATTGACAGGAGATGTTCTGCCATCTCCAGAAAAGCAGGACTCCCCCACATGTAATATTTGTAGCCCAGGGTGCAGCTGAATCCTTTTGGCCGTGGTATGTTTCTGGATCCTGCTCCAATTGGTGTCCCTACGCACTCCCAGGGCCTTTCCTGACAAACTGCTCTTCACAACCCATGCCACGTTGCTGGCGCAGGGTTTAATACTCTCTCTCGCCAAGTCTCCTCTCTGCAGATGCCTGGAAATGCTGTATTGTTTCTGCAGAGCATTGCGACCTGTTGGAGCTGGTGCCACTCCCAGGCAGTGAAGAGCAGGTACAAGAGCACTGCCTGAGCCTATCTAGATCTCTGCCCTTTCTCCAGCACCTGCCAGACTCAGCTGGAAGAAGAAGGGAGGGAGACAAAGCTTAGATGCAGGAAAACTTTATTGTGAACAGAGGAGCTGCAAAGATTGTCACTGAACCGGAGGGCAAATCCCAGAGAGGCTGACAACCACTTGTTGGAGGAAGCAGAGGCAATGTCTCCAGAGCAGGGCTTCAAGCTTGGCATACTGCCTTGCTGAAGCATTCCAGATCCCCAGGACTTGGTCCATTAGCCCCTCAGGCCCTTTTACATGCAGATTTTGCCCCAGCTGAGAAGAGAGAGGAAATGGGAGGAGAGCAGAGAGTAAAAGAGGGCACTGATGAGCGACTGTGTGTGACATTCCCAGCTAGGAACCGTGGAGAATGTGGGGCTGGCTCTAGCAGGAGCCACAGGAGTTCCAGAGCCTCTGGCTGTAGCGGGGCAGAGGCAGAGGGCTGCAGGCGGCAGGAGCGTAGGGTCTGCCAAAGGTGCAGAGACCCCCTGAGGCCTGAGTGGCCCCGGCACCGTAGAGGCCTCCCAGCCCCAGGTTGCCTCCAAAGGCGGGTGCTCCGGAGGAGCCCACCACGGCTTGCTGGGGGAAGGAGCTGAGGATGGGGCCGGGGAAGGTGACAACCACAGGCGGTGGCTGGATGAAGGCTGAAGAGTCGGGACACTGGCGGGCGCACAGCTCGTTGCAGCTCTCAGCGATGGGCTGGGGAACGGCCACACCGGTTCTTGGTGGGCACAGGTCGTAGCAAGACATCTTGGTGTGCGATGGGATGGTGCTCTGCAAGAGTTAGAGGTTGTAAGAGAGCAGCAAAGGGTAACTCGCAAGAGGGAGACCTTGGGGCTGGTGCACAGGGCCAGAAGGACAAACACTCACAGACTTACCCTGTTCCTCGAGGAGACGGTGACCAGAGTGGTGGTTGGGAGAGACTGGCAGAGGCACGGCTTTTATACCAGCCTTGCCATGGCTCAGCATTGTCTGAGCCATTCTGCAGAGTTGGAAACACCTTGTGTCCTATGATGACGGGGCTGTCTGGCTCCTGCCCCTCCCTGAGTCAGCATCCCCTTGCCAGAACAGCACATTCTGCTTCCAGGTTTCCTTCCCTCCCCATTCTGCTCTGCGGGCTACATGAGAGCTAACATCTCCCACACACAGCAGTGTTCCTCCAAAGATCTCCAAACTCCGTCAAGGACCTTCTGGGTCAGGGCTGGCCACGTCCTCCGATGCTTGGGCCCGAGTGGTTATCTGTGCTCTTTATGCCACGCACCTCAGAAAAGAAGAGCATGAGGACTCTCGTTGGCCCAGATTTGTAGAGGTCAATAGCCAGTGCCTGCAGGCATATGGGAGCCCGCTCCCTTGCTCTTAGCAGGCAGCGATACGCAGTGCTGAGCAGGCAGATCCCAACAGGAATGCCTTTGATTTGACATTTCGTAACCTCACGCTTCTGCGGATAATGGACGCTGGGAACACATCACACTGTCACTGGCGTGCGGGAGGCCTTAACAAGGCAAATTCTTGCTCAGCGCCCTCGTATGCCCTGTGGCTCTGCAATGAAGGCCTGAGGCCACTCTGAGGCCAAGCCCGTGAGGAAGAGCCATGGCACGCATGGCACTTGCAGTCAGCCTTTGTCACGCTGCGTGCCCTCTAACACACGCAGATAATGAAAAGCCAGTGGGGA